TTAAATGGCAGCTTTATGACTTTATTTAAGTTATTTACTAGTTCTATTTTCTCCCTGTGTACTTGTAAAACTGCGGACATGTGTGGGTGTTGCTCAGGTGCAGCACAGCTGCAATCAAGCTGGTATTTATGTATAATTTATATCGCGTGGTTGCCACAAATTCGATTCAATTAGAAAATGCTCATGGAAATTGCTGAAAAACCATCAAACATGCGGGCAACGGGAAGGGGAAAATCAAAGAAGCCAAGGCCGTTCATTCAGCATCAAAGTCAAAGAGAGCATGAGCGGAGGCGTAGGCTGAAGGGTGTATAGTCTGTGTGGGCGTGGCTGGCACAGGTCACGACCTGCGAACAAGCACATACACACACACACACACAGACAGAGACACACACGTGCGGCAGTTCGAAATGGTTTTTGTTCAGGGAACATGATTAACATAAAATTAAACGATCCAAAGAACGAGGCAATTGCGAGGGCTCCTCCCAGTAAATTGCTTTGAACCACCTGCTGTCGCATAACTTCCCCGCCATTAATACCACCCCCACCTTGGCCTTTCTAGGCCTTAAACTCATTCCTCAGATAATTGTAGCAGATGCCTCATCTAAACACAACGCTTTTAAGTTAGAAAATCTTGGAAAAAACAAAGTAAAACTATGACAAATCACATATATATCGTATATATATATAATGAAAAGCCTCATTAGATGTTCTCATAGTAATATATGTAATCTATAGAAACGGCTGATCACTTCCCCCCCCTTACAACCTCTCACCAGTTATCCCCCTCACAAGTGTCGCCTAATTGCTAGCGAAAAGAAAAACTTTGTTTATTATAATTAGTGGACAAATACACACAAAATCCCAAACGAGGGGTGTTCGAGTGCTTTGGAAGGGGGCGAGTGGGGCCGAAAATCCCACAAGGAGAAACAAAAGCAATACCAAATGAATATCTCAAGTGGATTCGGGTGAAAAAATAGAGGCAAACTAAGGAAAATGGCCCAAATACACTGGAAAACACACAAGTAAAAAAAGTACAAATTAAATGGAAATAATTCTATAGTCAATTTTCTAGCTTAAACCGATAAAAATTTCTAGATTTTTGCTTAAATCTTTTCAAAACTAATAGCTAGTAGTTCATCCTCAATAGGCATATACTTTCCCGATTCCTTGTTGCCCAGTGTAAGTGACAGTAATAAGCAATAAGTAAAATGAATGAAGAAAATCAAACCCGGCGACCGCTGGGACCAAGACCAAGAGGAAAATGTGTGTGCGGGAGAGAGATCTACAAGTAAGCAAACTTGGGGCAAGAAAGAAAAGAAGAAAAAATAAATAAATGTAGTCCTTGAAATGCTTTTAACACAAATTACAAACAACGTTTAATTGGGTCGAGTGGTGGGTGGAGTGGGGTTTTCTAGGAGGTTTCTGCCAGGGCTTAACTTTACTGACCGAACGCGGTTACTTTGCTAGCATTCTACTCTTATTTCTGTCCTTTGACTATATTTTTTTATATATATTTAAATACATGTATTTTCTGTGAAAGACTAAACCGAGTTTATCTCGTCTCGGCCCGCCATTTTGCCCCATCCCTTTTATCGCATTTTCCGCCACCTGCAAATTTTCTTTTGATGAAAGTTGTCAGAGCAACAAAACGGAAATTTAATTACTTGAAAATTGTGTAATTAAAGTCACTTTCACTTGGCAAACACAGACCCACCGCCACGCATTTTTTCCACCATTTTCCTATAATTATCCAGCTTTTCCCTTATCTTTTAGCTTCTTGGAGGTGGAAAATCTTTGGAAATGGGTTTTAAAGCAGAGAGAGTTAGTTTCTTGGTTGATTCATAATGCTGGGTTTAAGTCATAAAAAGAATGATTAATCTAATGCTAATCGCGAAGATTTATCTGGAAATTCTTCAAGGATTATTATAATATATATAATTTAGAAACTAAGAATGAAACATAGAAAGATAAACTTTGAAAAGTTTGCATTAAACCACAAACTATGTTAGAAATTAAAGAAGTAATAGTTTAGCATAACCGCTGTTTTAACATATATTTACAAGCTGTTACTATGCTTTGAAGTATATGCATATTCGAGGCTGAAAAATCCCAGAAATCCTATTGTTTTATGTGTGAAACGGGTGGATTAGGAGGGGTGATATGGGGAGCGAGCATAGGGGGCTTGAAAACTTAACGACAAAAACAAACGCTAAAGCAAACGCACACTGAAAAAGCGAAACAGCGAGGAATAATCATCACTCTGAGTGGCGCGGCTTCTAGAATTTCAATGAGGGGCGGAGGTGGGTGGCAGTTGGGCTGGCCGAGGGGTTGCGTGGGTGGCTAAAACTATTGTCCAAGCTGTTGTTGTGACGCAGTTGTGTTGCCGTAGTTTTTATCGTTGTTGCTTTTCAGCTTTTTCCTTTTTTTTTTTTTTTTTTTTGTTGTTATGTAGCAACAGTTTTGGCCCTGCCATGTTTTACTTAATTTTCTTTTTATTTCCCCGATTCGGTTTGTTTTGTCAAGCGTAGTTTTCTGTTTTTTTTTTTTCGGCGATAGTAACAAAGGCAACCTGTGGCATTGAGAGGGAAAATACAACAAAATATATATATAAAGCGAGGGCAAGGGAAAAGGGGAAAAGTAGCCATAATGAAATATATTCCGTAATTGGACTTTTGCCAAACCGACCCGAACCTCCTTATCCGAGTTTCCTACACCACGCCCCGTATCAGATGACGTCGCCGGCTAATCAAACAAAAGCTCAAAACTATACAAGTACACTGCGGAAATGATAAGTGAAGTGTATTACATCGAAATCTGGGAAATATTACTAGCACTTTTTCTCTATTTATTTTAAATGCTATTTTTGTGGGTGATTAATTAACAGCCATTATAGATTCTAATGCGAATTCTGATTCAGTTAACTTATAGATTACTTTTTTTTTTCTTCCAACAACTCATTTTTCTCAGTGCTTTGAAGCTGGCCTAAGCTGGTTTTTTGAACCTAGGCGATATTTAATACGGCTGCCGCGTGCCCAAAACTCCAGATAACAACAAAGCACAAAGGGAAGGCATAATTTAATAAACAAATTCCCAAACTAGGCAACAAACAGGGAGGAGGCAAACAAAGTGCAAAACTCAAGTGTCGCCGCAAGAGTCAAGTGAAAATGTAAAAGTGAGGGTGAAAAGGCAGAGGGGCAATGGGACAGAGGGGCGTGGCGCTCTTCTCCTGTGACTGTGAATTACTCACCAGGCTAAAACAAAGAGCCAGTCAGCACCAGCATAGATAACTGTAACAAAGGGAAACCCGAAAAAGCCAAAACAAGAACAAAGGTGGAAGAAAAATGCACACAGAGAGAAAATTATATCAGACGTGACTATATAATGTTAGAGAAAGTGGATTTAATAGTTGTTAATCTGATATGTATATATTAACTACTATCTAGTACTATGTAGAAATCAGAGAGAAGCATCAAACATTTTATAACATTTTGAAACATTCTATTTTTCTTTCTGTGTCCTTGGGAAAAGGACCACAATAGGTGAAGAAAAAGGAGACTCGAAAATCCTCAGATAATGTTCGAAAAATGGTTTGCATTCGATGAAAAACGAACCAATGCCAAGCGGAGCAATTGCAGCAGCAATTGACCACAGGAATTCGTCATTAAATGGACGCAGCTGAAAAAACGAGAGGGAAAACTGATGAAAACTGTGGGGTTAAACGGGGGAAAAGCTGTTAGGAATCGGGGGAGCTCTTCGGGGGTCTGAAACTGACTGCTTAATTGCTATTTTGGTTTCGTTTCATGTGCTAATTGTGCACATGCTATGCAAATTTGTTGCTCCCTTGGCCTTCTCGTCGCCTCCAAAAAAAAACTGAAAACCAAAAGTGTTTATACCATGTGAGATATCACGATGTGGCTGGCTGTCAGTGAAATAACTCAATTTTCGATTTATGAATAATACAGCATAAGGTCTGTTAAAGCAACAAATTAATTACTTTTCGGTTTTTTAATGAGTAAAAAAAAAAGTAGGAAAGAATTTTAAGTTACAAATTATTAAATTAAATTAGTCAAAGGTTTAAAAGCAATCCCCGACATCCCCATGGCATAGACGAAAAATCTGTCAGCCGCTCCGCGTGCATCATATTTTTTCGATCCATTTTCCCCCGCGGCGTTTTGAAAACTAAAATTCTTTTTATGACCAAAATACATGAAAACAATTTTCGCAGAACAAAACAAAAAAACAAAAAAGGAGCAAAGAAAAAACCGCACAGAGCAACTGCAAATTGAGTGCCAAAAGAGGGGGAATGCGGGCGGGAAAATGGCGACTGAGAGATGACTAAGACAAGGAAAATTGAAGGGGGGTATGGGGTAAATGGGGCCAGACTGGATAAAAACGAGCTGCTGTCCCACATATAATAATGCATTACGGCCCCGTCGTTATAATCCACGAAAATGCGAGTAAAATAAATAAAGTGCCAGGCAACAAAACTACAAACTACAATGATGTGGGTGGCAAGAAGTGGGCGATGGATGGTGGGTGAAGAAGCGGGTGCCAGACGAAGGCCGAAGGGTCGTCTTGGATTACGCTACTCCATTCCGAGAGTGCGCGTGTGTGGCTACAGTAAATATTGCCTTAGGCACATCCAATATTCATGAACTTCTCGCGAACTTAACACAAACTACACATCGTAGTAGTTCCACTTACAGATTGCTCTACTTCCATACATAACAATGGAAAAACTTTCATTGAATTTTAGAATTTTACGAAATTTCTAAGTGACGGGTATACGCATTTGGCTAATTAGTTTATAGTTTCGATATCTCGAGGGTTAATTCTTGAACTAAACAAAAATAGAAATCGAAAAGATAAGTTAAATTCTGTTTGCCTTAAGAAAAGCACCTAAAATTTAATATTCTAAGGTTCTAATTTCTAAGAATTAATATTATTTTTGAAAAAAACACTTAATGCATATTTCAAAATATTGGTGAAAGTCTACTTACGGGTAAAAGAAGAAGAGAAATGTGGTCAAAAGCAGCACAATCCAGGCGAAAGTCGCAGGAATGTAGCGCGTTTTCACATCGCATTTGGGCATTTTCCTATTTTCCTATTTAATTTTGTTGTTGCTGTTAAGTGTTACTGTTGTTGTTGTGGTTGCAGTCTCTCGTTATTGCTGTTTTGTTGTTGTTGCTCTTCGCCAATGTTGCAATGATGTAGTTGTTGCTGCTGCTGTTGTTGCTGTTTCTTTTGCCGTTGTTGCAATGTCGTTGACCGTTTTTTTTCTTGGCAATGAAATGCGTTTTGCTGTTGTTGCCGCTGATGATGTTGCTAGCTTGTTGTTGTTGCTGTTGCCGCTTGATGACGTTTCTTGGCTTGGCTTTCTCTCTATCTATCTCACTCTCTCTCTCTCTGTGTGTGTGTGTTTTTCGTAATTTTTTTATATTTCGTTTCAGGTGGGGAGGGAGTGGCGGGGGCGGGGCAGAGAGAGAGGGGGGCGGGAAACGAGCGAGACGGCGAGACGAAGCGGCGACGCGTGAAACGGGATCGGCGACAGCGTCGTCGACGTCGACGGCAGCAAAGGCAGCGACGCCGGCAGCGCGGCTTTCAGATTCGCGGGAAACGGAAAATCGGGAAAATTCGGGGGGAAAATTCAGCTTCGACTTTTCAAAGTTCTGGCTTTTGAAGCGGCTGCTGTTTTGAGAAATCAAAAATATAATGATAGAAAACGGATTAAGAACACTTTGGAAAAAATACACTTGATTTTCACATTAAAAAAAAGATGACACATTTTCGGATTTTAAAAAAGTCACAGACACACTCACAATTCATACAAACAACTACCTACAAATTGTCATTTAAATTATAATTTGTTTGGTTTTTACCTATTACTTTAGAGTTCTTTAAGATGAAAGATCATAAAACTACTTGAATTCATTCAAAAACCCTATATATTGACTATATTTTAAAGCAACATTATCTTTTTAATTTTAAACGCACTGAAATCTGAATATAATTGATGAAGAACCCTAAATAAATCTTTCAATTTCGTACCCAAAATGAAAAACAAATTCTTTGTCCTTGAAATATAAAAGATAAAATATATTTAATATGTCATAATTCTAAATATTTAAAGAATCTGTTAAAAAAAAATGTTAAGCATGATTTAGGAAACAGAATCTTGTCAACAAATTTTTAGCAAGGAGTCAGAAAGGATAAATTGCGGTAAATAGAAATATAATAGTTAATCTAACCGATATTTTTTACAAATATGATATGCATCATTTTCTAAGAAGAAGAATAATGACACTCGAATTTCACATGCGAACAAACTTTTCTTTCATGTTCAATTCCAAATAATGAAATAGAAAATTAGATGAAATAATTTATATCGCTCGTTTCGTTGTTTACTTTAGTTTAAATTCCTGCCGTTTGAGTTGTTTACTTTATTTTAAATTTCTATAATTTATTCCAATTTGTTTGCGTTTCTCTCTCTCGCTCTCTCTCCTCTTTTCTCTCTCGGGGACAGAGAGCGATTCTTGTTTTCCGTTTTTTGCAAAAATCCTCTCGATCTGCCTGTTTGTTTAAGTATTGGTATCGGTATTAGTTTACGCACACATATTAAATATTGATATTCAGAATAAAAAATTAAAAAAAAAAAGATCGTTGACTTTCCCTGGTTTTTCATACAACAATTTTCATTTTCGTATGCGTTTTTCGTTTGCCTTTTTCGTTTTCCCCCACCTTTCTTAGTTCTCTTTTCTGGTGCTGCTTCTTTTTCTTTTGCCTTCTATCTGCCTCTCACTCGCTCTCTTTGCTCTTTACATATACCAACACACACACACTAACACTCGCACGCACGTTGTTGCTGCAACGTTTTTTTTTGTTTTTTATTTCGGCGTCGCCTGTAATTTCATTTTAATTTTCGCTTTCGTTTGCACGCACAATATACACAAATAATTAACTATTCTTTTCCGGCTTTGTGCGATTTTTCATTTTATTTCAATAGGCGGCAGGGCGTTTGGATTACGAAAAAATAAATAAAAAAAAGCGGAGCGTACGCATAATTTCGTCGGTCGCGACAGTGTGGCAGTGTCCCCAAACGGAGATATGGTCTTAAAAACCGCAAGACAAGAATGTCCTAAGAAATCTAGGAAAATAATTTGGGCACACTGCAGTGTGACCAGGCAAGAAACTCGTTAAAAATAATTTACAAAGTTTTGGTATTTTTTAAATTTAATCTGTTTAAATAACAGAAACATTTAAAAGTGCGTACATTATTTATTACAAATAATAAATGTCATTGGTAAAGTATAGTTTACGTGTTTTTTTTTACGACCAAATACATTAATTAGTAAATTTTTGTTTGGAAGATATTCATTTAGTTTTCCCCAAAAAGTTCCCATTTACGTCAAGGCGATAAATATTTCCACAGAGAAAAATATTAAGTTGCTGTTTTGTGCGATATCATGGTCGATTCTCCGGACAGAAAGTTGCTAAATAAAAAAATTCAACAGTAGAGAAAGACATCAGCGTTGCCAGAGTATCGACATTTTAACCTTATAGCTATTATTTCCAATTAAATACTAAAAAGGTTTTGACTTATTGAGATTACCGTTTGTGCCGATTATTCACACGGACGGTTATACTATATCGACGTCGATATCATATCATTCGATTGCGCTAGTAAAATCACGCCTCCAAATATCGATTGTATTATATTTTGTTGTAAAATAATATTCATATGCGAATTCGGCTAAATAATCTACTACTAGTTGGACGAACCCAAGGCTAAGAGACCAACGCAGTATTAACATCACTTCAAAGGACGAGGGCTGTAAACACCATTGTAAAACACTCGGAAGTCGCGAAAAACACTTAGCGGCTTTTCGCGAGACGCCGACTGTGGCAGAGGAAAAGCGTGGAAAGCAGGGAAAGCCAGGCGCCATAAACCTATAGACATGTCTCGAAGCGTGCGTGCGGAAACGCGTAGTCGGGCGAAGGATGACATCAAGCGAGTGATGCAGGCGGTGGACAAGGTGCGCCATTGGGAGAAGAAGTGGGTGACCATCAGTGACACCACCATGAAGATCTACAAATGGGTGCCCATTGCCTCCGCCAGCGAAAAAAAGTCTAAGCTAGAGTCCTCGCCAGGATCAGCCGCTAACCGTAGACCACCCACCAGTTCGGGCGTTGCGCCTGTTGGCGGCAGCAAGAGCGACAAAGAAAACTCCCAGAAGGGCACACCAACGCCGCCCCAGATCACTCCCAGCTACCAGGGGCTCACTGCCGAGGACTCCAACACCTGTAAGAACTTAGTATATAAATGGGTTGACCCGTTAAGGTCACCTTAAAAGTTTAAGTTTAGTTATAGACCGGTAAAACTTCAGGGCACTTTCGAAACATATATTTGAGGCAGTTCCAGACTTAAAGATATTGCGGAAATAGATTAGTGATGGACCTTCAAAATTCTTCTGATTATTTAATATAAAATACGTAGTTAACATAATTGAACGCCCACATACATATGTACATATACAGACAAAAGTATGTGGTCTCTTAACTAACATATCGAAGTTTTTGTGAGAGGCAGTTATCAGATTGAGAGATATTATTTAAATATTGGGTCTGCACATCATTAATTTATTTACGACTAATTAATTGTAGAGTAAATATTTTAGATATTGACAATATCTATAAGCAAAACAATATAAAGTATGATTTGGCGTAGTCTTGGGCTTTTTCAGAGCTCAACACCTAAAATGGTATTTTATGTAGGCTTCCAATAAAAATCTAGACCAAATTCTTATAGGCATTGAAAGCTTATCCTTTCGTGGCATTTATGCCGTTTGCGGTATAGAATATTCGAAAAGGTTTATTTACAGCCTCTATATAGTTTATATATAGTCCACATAAAGCTATGTGTATCTTTCATTTTATTAATTACTGTTATTAAAAGCCTATTTTATAGACTCCAAGTCTTATAAAACATATATAAATATCACCTTACACGCAGTTATTATGTTTAGTTTTAATAGGTGATGAAACAATTTGTTTACTCTGTCTAATTCGTGTAGACCTCTATGAACACTTGATAACCCATAGGGAGTGTATAGACAAATATTATGTTTACAATCAATTTCCAAGTTTATAACATTTTAATTAATTGCCATATTTTTCCAGGTTTCTCTGTCGTCTCCGACAGCCAGGGCGCGGACTTTGTGTCGAGTATGCCCTTCTCCGAGGACTCAAACTCGCAAGGCAGCGATGGACCCGTGAAACGTCTGAAGACGAGCGACTAGCCAAACATTCGGAGCCACAGCGCCTACAGCAGCAGCAGCAACTAAGAACCCTAGTTAAGTTAGAATAGCCCCGCCAGCACCGGAGATCGAGAGCGATATCGGGATCGCGGCGATGACGATGACGACAAGAGTATCTGCCTCAGCCCAAGACTTAAGCAATTCTCCTACTCTAACAGTTTGTGGCCTGCAGTTGCCCCCGACACAAGCCTCATTCTATCATAATCAATGCGGGGGCAACAGCGGGTCGATAGGTCCATAGCATTAAGCTCGAAACAACTTATTTATTAGAACAACAACCGAATGGATTGTGAACGAACATAGAAATGATGTCTAATTATGTAACGAAGGAGCCAGTCTAAATTGTAATCCATGTAAAGTTTTTTTGACTTTCGATTTCTGAACGTTTTTTTGACGACACGTAGTAAATAAATAATTGTACTAATGTTAGAATACAGTTTTCCCCATGAAATTCGCTAATTTATTTTGTATTTTCCCAAAAGTAGATTTTTGTGATGACGAGTTCTAACGTTCTACGCATTCAGTGAATGCAATTAACTTAAAATCGAAATGTTCAAAATGAAATAGTGGTAAATTCTGGATTGTGAACAGGTTTATCAAATTAAAAATGAAAATAAACACCCGATAGATACAGAAAGATAAAGATAAAAGCTAAATACCGAACCAGTTAACCACTTTATAGTAAACTTACCAATATAAATCTGACATTAAAGTTAACTGCCAGCAGGCTAAGAAAAACATGATGAATGTCCACTGAACTTTCTCTTCGGGTTTTTACATTTTTTTTATGATTTTTCTTTATTGAATGTTTTAGTTTTCTTCATCTTACAATTTTCCCCCCGTATGTATAATAATAAAAAAAAGTTTTATTCTTTCAACAAATAGTTTTTCATTTCATTCGTAGTTTTACTCTTATTATGTTGTGGTTTTTGTTTGTTTGTTTTTCTTTATCCATTATGTAGCTTGACATTAAATATACAATTAACTTCACATATAGCGTTGTATATGGCCCGATTGGCTTATACAGCTTTAGTTTCTTTCATCTTTCACTAAAATTTATGCTAAAAACACGCTTAAATGAAGGGAAGCACAGATTTTGCACAGAGAACGAAAATGAAAAAAAATGCACACACATTACGACTTTCGACGAGAAAGATAAATCATAAATCATAATACAATTCATAAATCGATGATATAATTAAAAAATAAAATATTTATATATTTATATATATATATATATATATGCATATAGGTATACATATATAATGATGTGTAAAAAAACACGCGCGACAAGTTTCAACTACTACACACACAAAACGAAAAAAATAGAAAAGCTGATTGGCTTGCGCGAGAACCAAAAAAAAAAGGGAGAAAGGAAAAGCTTCGCTTTTCTTTTTTGCACAGTGTTGGCGGGGGAGGGGATTGCACGTTGTTTTTTTTTTTTTCTTGTTTTTTCATTTTTGGAATGTCTTGCGAATTTAGAATCTCGAAAAGCCCCTAGAATTCTGGATTATTAGCACTTTCCTGCGTCCTGTCTGTGTGTGTTTGAATAAATAATTAAATTATAATTAGCATAATTAGACATATATGTGTGGGGAATGCTCGATTTGTATCCTGGTTTTAGCACAAAAGTGATCTCTTTCGCTTGTTACATTTAGTTTCACACATATACATATATAATTTGTTGTATATTTTTTAGCTCGCCTTTTTTTGTTTGTTATTTTTTAGAAAAATATATAGAAATCCTAGCTGGGAATCGTCCCCTAATTGCCTTGTGTATACATATAGATATTTTGTTGTTTTCCGATTTACATACATATATAGTTAATATTGTCATTTAGCTTTCAAAAAAATATACTTTTTGCCTTAATTTTGTTTTGTTTATCGTTTTCCTTTTCTTGCTTTTTACAATTCTCTTTTTTTTTTTTGCGCAAAAGTATCTTGATTAGCAAAAAAAACATTAGTTTCACACAAAAATAAAAAAAAAACAGTAGGCTACAAAAATTGGCTTTACAAAAGTTGCTGTGTGTTGCTCTTAGTGTTTCTTGTGTACATTTATAGTTTTAGTAATTATTTAATATTAATTGCAACAGTTGTTTTTTTTAGTTGGTTTTTTCATGTGGGGGTTGCATATGTTTCTCGTTTTTTTGGATATGTTTATTGCCGTCCCCTGCCCCCGAGGACATGCTCCTCTAGTTCCTCCTTCTCCTCATCATCATCATCGTGTTGCTGTTCTCTGTGGGTGGTGTGTGGTTTCTTTTTGGGGTCAAGGCTAGACCTTGGTGGTGACCTTGCCAGCGGTAGCTGTTTGCCAGGATTTGTGATGTTTACTACTAGAGCGTCCCTGTCCCTGCTGCTGATTTTGCTGCTGTTGCGGCGACTGATGTTGCTGATGCGCCTGTTGTTGTTCCTTCCTTTGCTTGACCAGTCTGTGTTATGTCTGCAGCGGATAGCTGTTCTCCGGATGCTGCTGCTGCTGATGCTGCCGGCGCTGCTGCCGACAACTGGCCATCGCAACTGCCGCCGCAACGGCAGCCGATTGACGGGCTTGATATCAGCACTCGGACTTGTCCTCCTCCACCAGGAACTGCGTGTCCTTGCCGGTGTCCGCCGAAGGATCCAGCTCCCTGGTGCGCAGCTGCAGCTGCGGCGACGCCTTGTGCGTAATGCTGCTGGGCGCTATGATTGCCGAGGCGGGCTCCGTGAATGAGCCGCCTGCATGGTGGCCCATGGTTTTGCCCTTGGCCGACGGTTCACCTGGGACATCATAGATGCCTAAGGAAGGAATAAATAATGCAATACGGTATTAATTTTGTTGGTTTCCAAGTATAAAAACATTATTGATCTAACAATTATAATGGTTAAATTATGGATTTTATCGATATACACTCACCGGAACCGTTGCCCATTCCAGGATCAGCGGTGGTGCCCGACTGCACCGCATCGTACATCGGATTGGCAAAGTCGCGCGCCTTGTTCGCGTTGACCGTCTGCAGGTTGTAGCCCTCGATGGGCGCAACATCACCGGCTCCCGGTGCAGATGCTCCTGGGAAGCCGCTCTCGCTGAACTCTACGTTCGACCCATGGCGGAAGGTCACGCTCTGTGACGAGGTCATTGCCGGCATGCGAGCCAATTTGCCACTGAAAAGTGAAAGACGAAATATTAAATCTTTGCATTTTTTAAGCTTATCTCTGATAGAGATTGTATCTTTGGGGTAACCCATTAATCAGTAGTCCCCTTAGATCTTGTAACCTAACTTAGATACTTACAATGGTCGCTTCCGGATGACGTACCAAGCCCCGGCGGCGGCCATCATAACCAGCAGGATGACCATGATCGGCACAACGACAGCGGTGACGTTGGCACCGCCATGGCCAAAGGCTCCCGTGGTGCTGGTCTCACAATGATCGCCGCGGAACTCGGAGAGGCAATCGCAGACGAGTTCACCTTGGGCATCCTCCTTGCACAGACCGCCATTTTGGCAGGGACAGATTCGCGGGGCTGGGCGTGGATGCTCCGCAGCAGCATTGCAGATCACCTCTGCGGTGCTGCGATGCGAGGGTGGGGGGCCAGATGCATCTGGGCAGGCGCAACGATGACCTCCTGGCACCAAGAGACACAGATGGGAGCAGGTGGAGTTGCCGCACGGATTGGGCAGCGAGGTATTGTACCGCTTGTCGTGGTACACCTTCAGGCCGGACGGATTCACGAGATTGCGATGCAGCACCACCTGTACTCCACGCCCGAACTTGTCCTGGCGCACCAGTTCACCCGTGTCCCGGGTCATCCAGAACATATTCGACTCAAAGAGATCCAGGGATACGGGGTGCCTCAGCTGGTCACCCTTGACAATGGCCTTTCGCCGGGAGCCGTCGGCTCTCATCGATTCGATGGCATTCAGCTTGGTGTCCACCCAGTAGATGATGTGATCCTGCGAGTAGTCGATGGTCAGGCCAGCTGGATGGCGAATCTGCTCGGTGATCAAGGGTCGTCGCTTAGAGCCATCCATCCAGGAAACTTCGATCTTGGGCGCTGAGCCCGCATCGGACCAGTAGATTCTACCCAACTGGGGATTGACAGCAATAGAAGTGGGCACTTCCAGACCAGCATTTACGATCGAACGGCGATAGCGACCGTCGGTCTTGGCCACCATGACACGTCCACGGGGCTTGGATCCCGTCCTGTCTACTTCGGTCCAGTAAAGATTAGAGGCCAGCCAGTCTACAGCAACGGCTGTGGGTTTCGAGCCGCCCTTCATGTTCAGATCCTGGGCAAAGCCGATCTTTGCGCGACCATCGATAGCGTTGACCATGTAGGATCGCTTGATGGTCTTGTCGTAGCTATCAGCCCAGAAGACGATCTGTTGCTGGGCATCGTAGTCCAGTGCCTCGATCCTTTTCTCTGCAGCTATCACATCGAATTCTTCGCGTTTCTGCAGATCGAGTCCTCTGATCTCTTGGCCATTGGCGAATACGAGGATGACATCCTCCTTTTCGGCCCGACAAACACCACTGGCGCCGTCCGTCAAATGGAATCCTTCGCGGCAACTGCAGGAGTAGGTGCCATTCAGGTTATGACACTGGTGTGAGCATGTGTGTTGTCTCGTTAGGCATTCGTCCACATCAGAGCACTTCTTCTTGTTGTCAGCGGCTATAATGTAGCCAGGATAGCATGTGCAGATGTAGCCGCCATCCGTGAGATTGTGGCAATGATGCTGGCATCCACCGCGAGTCTGTTCCGAGCAACTGCTTGTGTGATGGCAACCCAACTCATCACTGGCATCGCCGCAATCGTTGACAAAATCACAGACCTGGGATCGTTCGACGCAGTGCTTGTTGGCACACTGATACTGGGTATACAGATCGCAGGGCTTCTGTTTGCTGGCACACAAAGTCATATTGTTCTCATCGCTGCCATCGCCGCAGTTGTCGACGCCATCGCAGATCTGATAGCGGGCCACGCACCTATGATTGGAGCACTGGAATCGCCTGAGGGTGTCGCAATTAAAGTCACTGCAAACGCTGGGATCCTCGTCGCTGCCATCGCCACAATCATCGGTTCCATCACACAAATCGGACAGGGAGACGCACAGGTTGTTGTTGCACTGGAATCGCGATTCCGGACAGTAGCGACCTCCCGGGAATCTTGGTGGACAACCCACTTCATCAGACATATCGCGACAATCACGATCGCCATCGCAGCGGAAGTAGGAGGCAATACAGTGACCGGATGCACACTGGAAGGTGCCATTCTTGCACTGATATCCCTCGCAGTGCATCTCGTCCGAGTTATCTCCGCAATCGTCCTCGTGGTCACACTGCCAGCGGGATGAGATGCACTTGCCATTGCCGCAGCGGAACTCCGACTCGGAGCAATCCCTATAGCGACCCTTGCACACAGCCTCGTTCTCGTCACTGGCATCGCCGCAATCGTCCGCGAAGTCACACATCCATTGCCTGGGAAGATTCAGTAAGGATTAAATTAGGAACTCCGACCATGGTAGATGGGGACTCACTTGGGTATGCATCTGTTGTTGCCGCACTTGAAGTCTGTATCCGGATTGCACTTCGGACAGTTCTCGGGAAGCTCATCACTGTTGTCCCGACAATCGTCCTTTCCATCGCAGAACAGCCATTTGGGTATGCAGCGGTAGTTGGACTGACCAGGACACCTCTGCCAACCAGTAGTGCAGTTTCTCTGGCGGCACATGTAAGCCGGCTCATCCGAATCGTCGCCACAATCGTTGTCGAAATCGCACATCCAGAGTTGCGGAATGCAGCGTCCATTCTTGCAGGTGAATTCCGTTTTGGGGTCACAGGCGCGTTTGGCTAAAAATTACATGAGATCAACAGGATTAGGATAAATCAAGACAGTAATCAAGGATTACTTACCACACACGGCGGGGTCCTCATCGCTGCCATCCTTACAATCGGCATCTCCATCGCATCGCCAGCTGTCCAGGATGCATCTGCCGCTGGACTTGCACTTGAAATCGGATAGAGGACATGGTAGGTCACAGTTTTGCTCATCGCTGCGATCCCCACAGTCATCAACTCCATCGCAAATCGTCGCCGAAGGTGTGCAGTTCGTGTTCTTACACTGGAATGTTCCGGCTCTGCAGTGTCGAGGAGCACAGGTGGCGGGCTCATCGGATCCATCCTTGCAGTCTTTCTCACCATCGCACTTCCAGAACCATGGGATACACTTCTCATCCCTTCCGCCACACAAATGTTGTCCGGCCGTACAATTAGCAATGCACGTCTTCATGTCCCTGGCCAAATAGAATTGATTGGGACAGGCACACTTGAAGATCGGAGCTCCCTCTTCGATGTATCCTTCGATATTCAGATATGTGGATTCCGGGGGCGGTGCTATCAGGCAGAGATGTGAGCAACCGCCATTATTCGTGCCACAAGGATTGGTGTATGGCAATTGTCTAAGCGGATGATTTATGTGCAAGTCATAGGGACGATGGGTAGTGTTTCTTAGCACTGTATAGTTGGCACCATGGAACTTATTGGCCCTTACGATCGCCTTCAGATTCCAGTCACTCCAGTAAATGTAGTCGTCGAAGAGACTGAGAGCAAACACATGTGGTACCTTACTACCGGATAGCACCGTGTGACGATGCCTGCCCTCCAAATCGGCATAGGCTATATAGTCCAAGTGAGCATCCGCCCAGTAAATGCGATCCGTGAAGTAGTCAATAGACAGGGCATTCGGCCAAGCGATGCCATCGTTCCAGTTCAGAATCCTAGAGAAGTTCGAACCATCCATTCCCATTTTGGCAATGTAGGCTTGCAGATGCCAGGAGGTGAAGTACAGGTAACCGATTCCAGGATGCACGACTATGGCGCGGGGATCAACCACACCACTCCTCAGAGTCTTGCGCTTAGTTCCATCCAATTCCGAAACATCCAAGTTCTTTGAATGTCTGTCCAACCAATAGAGCTTGCGTCCCACCCAATCGATAGCAATACCTTCAAGGCCGTGAGAATCGTGCCTAATGACAGCCTCTCTTTCTGCTGGCATCTCGTCTTCCGCTTCTCCGTACTTCGCTCTGAAGATCGTCTTGGCCGTGACGTCGCAGAAGTACATATACTCCTCGCGAATGTCAAAGTCCAGAGCCACCACATTCATCAGATCCTGGTGCATTAGGTTATACTGGTGACCATCCACCGACATATTGCGCACGTAGTACTTGTTGGTAAAGATCAGCCACGGTGGGATCTTGTCCTTCCGCTTGCACGTGTGCTCGTCGTTCTGTCTTTCGTAATAGGTTTCATCGCACTTGCAGTAGAATCCACCAGGAGTATTGGAACAGTGTTGGGAACAAGCTCCAGGCTGCTCCAAGCACTCATCCACATCCGCACACGCCTTACCATCGGCCAGAAGTCTGTGGAAGGAGTAGATTAAATTTGGGTTTGAACTCTTTTTAATTTTTATACTCACTTGTAGCCTTCGTTGCAGTCGCAGTAGTATCCTGTCAGCGTATCCACACATTTGTGACCACACTGGTTGATCTCCACCTTGGCACACTCGTCCACGTTGCAGTGGGCTGGTTCATCGGATTCATCAGCACAGTCCGGATATTTATTGCACACCAGGCTGTAGTCTATGCACTGGCCATTCGTACACGCGAATTGACCCTGCGGACAGGTTACGTTCTCCTTTGCGCAGCCCACCTCATCTGAGTGATCACCACAGTCGTCCTCGCCATCGCACCTCGACTGGTTCCGGATGCACTTGAAGTTCTGGCAGGTGAACTCTTGCGCCGAACAGGTCTTGTACTTGGAGTTGCAGAACTTGCCCTCGTCGGTACCATCACCGCAATCGTTGTCATGGTCGCAAATCCATCCCTTTGAAATGGAAAAATAATATTGTCACAATTTCTTAATGGCAAAACGTATTTTTCACTTACCTTATTGATACAGCGTCCGTTGCCACAGGTGAACATGTCCTCACCACATGGTTGCTGGGTGGCACAGTTATGGAGAGTGGTATTCTCATCGGCTCCATCCACGCAATCTGGGTCTCCGTCGCAGATCCATTTCTTGGGGATGCACTGGGCCCGCTGCCAAGATTTATTTTCCACACAAGTGAATTCCGTTTCTTCGTCACATTTCCGGTCATCTAAAAAAGGTCATGTGGATATTGAAGATAGGTTTTTAAACGGGATTAAACTTGGATACTCACTGCACTGATGTCGGTTGTCCTCGTCACTGTTGTCCAAACAATCGTTGTCGCCGTCGCAGATGTAGATCCTGGGTATGCAGTTGCCATTGTCGCAAGTAAACAGATCCCCGAAACAAGTGCGTCCTTCGGATTTGCAGTAATCTGGGGGCTCATCGGCACCATCACCACAATCGTCATCGCCATCACAGTACCAAGTAGCTGGAATGCATCGGTGGTTCGGGCATCGGAAGCTGTTGGTTGGACAAGTTCTTTGGCCGCAATGCAGCGGATCCTCGTCGGAGTTGTCGCCGCAATCGTTGTCGCCATCACACAGCCAATAGGGTTCCACGCAGATGTTGGTCTTCTCGCACTTCAGATGATTCAACGGACAAGTGGTGTTCATGGGACAGCGTTCGTGGGTCTCGTCCGATGTAGCATTATCCTTGCAGTCATTCACTCCGTTGCAGACTTGAGCCTGAGGAATACAACGTCCGTTTCCGCATGTAAACTCGCCGTCCACACAAGGTGGATATGTGCAACCCAGCTCATCGGAACCATCCTTGCAGTCGTTCTCGTGATCGCACTTCCAGGACTTGAAGATGCAACGTCCGTTGTTGCAACGGAACTCATTCGGGGAGCAGGAGTGATAGGCGCAGTAGTTGGGATCCTCGTCGGAGTTGTCGCCACAATCGTCGTCGCCATCGCATGACCACATTCTCGATATGCATCTGCCATTCTTGCAGTAGAACTTGCTAGCCTCACAAGTGTTGTTCCTGGGCGCACACATCCTTCCCTCATTGACCACCTTGGTGTTGTCATCGCATTTGCATTCAGCCTTGCCATTTGGCGCAGGATGACAGCTCTGGGCGCATCCTCCGTTGTTGATCCTGCAGGGATTCACATTGCACTTCTGCCGATCGGCGCTGTAGATGCGGATGTCTCGTGGAGAATCCTCCAGGCGCTTCACCATCTCAACCATATTGGCACCAGTGTGTTTCTCTGCTCTGTAGACACCTCTTAACTGAAGATCCGTCCAGTAGATGTAGTTCCTGAATACTGTTATGGCGAAGGGATAAATAGTGGCTGCCACCAGGAGCTCTCGGTTTTGACCGTCCAGATCGGATCTTTCAATCTTTTCCCTAACCGCATCCGTCCAGTACAAATGCCTTTCGTCGTAATCGATCGCCAAACCACTTGGCTGTGACAGATCCTTATCCACAATGGCTCTCTTCAAAGAACCCGCCATGGTGGTGCGGAAAATCTTTCCGGAGGTACCAAACCTACCCCAATCCGTGAAGAACAAAGTGCCATTGCAGGGATCCAGGACAATAGCTCTTGGTCTCTCCACGCGTGCAATCATCACCAGCTCACTACCATCCAGATTCATCGCATAGATCGAGTTATTCGAGCTATCTGTCCAGTAGATCTTCTGCTGGGTCCAATCGTAGGCAATGCCCTCGGGATTGATGCCCTTGTTCAAGACTACAGTGATGTCGTCGTGACCTGGTTTGTTCGCCTTTGTGTATGCAATCTTGGCCCATGGACGAATTTGGGTATACAGCATCCTATTGTCGGCAAAATCAAAGTCCAGACCGACGACATTAGTGAGATTTGTCAGGGGAGTGAAGGGCACTTCCGTGGAATGGGGATCAAGGTTGACAGCTCGAATTTCAGTTCTTGTGGCGAAGACTAGGTACTCATTAACTACCTCACACTTTCGCTCATCGGCGCTCAGCTTTCCGGTGGCACATTCACAGCGGAAGTTTCTGCCGGAAGGTCCGGTGGCTCCACCTTCCGGTGGGAAACTGAAGCACAACTGATCACAGCCGCCATTTCCCAAATGGGCACAAGGATTGGTGTCGTCTTGTGGTTGGTTGATGATGTTGTAAATGGCAATGTCCCGAAGATTTTCGAGGTTTGTCCTCACCCTTGTGGCTGTTTCATTGGCACTGTGCTTGGAGGCCTTAAACACCGTCATCAGGTTCCTATCCACCCAGTAGACATCGTTTAGATAGACAGCGATGCCCATGGGATTGGGCAGATCCCTGCGGATCACCTTACGATTGGCTCCATTGAACGAAATCTTCTGAATGGTGTCCAGTTTCGAGTCTACCCAGTAAATATCATGGGTTTGCATATCGATAGTAAGATCGCGGGGTAACGATATTCCCGAAGTCACCAGTGGCATCCACTTGCTGCCGTCCAGAAGAGCTTTTCCTATCCTAGGATGCTGACCATAGTCGATCCAGTAGAGCAATCTCTTGATAGGGTTCACGGCCAGTTCGCGAGGTGCATCTGTGGTTGTCTTTACCAACACTTTCCTGTTGCTACCATCCAGCCAGCAAACCTCCACGTAATTCTCATGTGGATAGACGTTGGTGAAATACATATTGCCAGCCACCCAATCAATTGTCAATCCTCGGATTCCATTGCTACCGATGCCATCCTTGACCACATGCTGCAGATCAGTGCCGTTGGGTCGCGATCTGAAGATGCCATTCCAGTAGCCACGGTTGTATTCCGCCCAATAGATCCATTGTTCCCGATACATCACGTCCACATGGAGAATGTGATGACCAGGGCCGCTCACTGGGACCATAGCTTCGGAACTATCGCTCAAACTGTAGCCTCTAATCATGTCCAGTTGGGAGACCACCGCAAAGGTCTTGTAGGCCACGCAATTGATCTCGTTCTCCTTCCTGTATCCAATGCCGCAGGAACAGGTTCTGGTTGCACCAGGTCCGGGAATGCAAAGGTGTTTGCATCCACCGTTGTTCGTCTGGCAAGGATGTTGCATCAGGCCACGCTTTTTGTAGATCATCATGGAACGCAGATCGGGTTCGTTATCAACAATGGTCTTGAGGTTGTCGCCGTGGGGTAGGTCAATCCTCACAATACGCTCGTAAAGCGGGTCCAGATAGTATAGTCTGTGGTCAAGGATGCCCAAGCTCTTGGGCTTGGCCATGGGATGCGTGTCCTTCATTACGATCAGTGTGTGATCATCACCATTGTAGTCCATGGAACCGATCACTGCTGGATTGCTGGCACTGTAGTACAACATCTTCTTTTCAGTGTCCACGGCCAAGGATTCGGGATGAGCAAAGTCCTGGAAAACCACTATGGGGTTCTGTCCATTCATGTCCACCCTGCCAATCTTTATCGGGACTTCTAGCACGCCCTCATCGATCCAGAAGAGCTTGCCATCAGTGGGATCCAGTGCAATTTGCTTGGGACGGGAAACGGAGTTGGGATAACCATCGTTGGCCAGAATAATGGTGCGATACTTCTGCTTGCCATCTACTCGCACGGCTTCAATGTTACTTGCCACTCGGTTGCCGATGTACAGATTCCTGCCCAACCAATCGAATGCAATGGTATAGGGAGCTCCCACGATTCCGCTTTCGATGCCCAGGAAGAGGGTCTTGTTACCACCTCCATATGGTGTGGAATAAATTGTGCAGTTCTCATCGTTGTCCTCTCTGCCTTGCACCCAGTACAGGGTCTCGCCCTTGCGATCAAAGTCCAAGCCAGTGCTGCTTTCGATTCCAATAACTGGGGCCAAGGCACCGGCTCTGGAATCGCCACCACTCAGCAGAATATCCACAATTTGTGTTCCCTTGACAACCATGAGGAAGGGATTTTCCTCCTCGATGCAGCGACCTTCACTCAGTAGCTTGAAGCCGGGCTTGCACTTGCAAGAGTAACCCTCCTGAGCACTGGGACTCAGTAGACACAAGTGCTGGCAGCGAGATCCTGCGCAGGGATTCGGAGTCATGGGTTGCAGGGAAGCGTGATGCACATGAATGGATAACGGTTGGCTGATCAGATGGGACACAACAGTCTGATTCTTGCCACGGAACTTATTGGCGGACAAGACTCGATTCAATTGCCTATCAGTCCAGTAGAGGGTATCCTCGAACAGGGACAGCGAGTGGGGATGGAGCAGATAGTGACTGCTGGCCAGAACCTGCTGCCTTCCGGTACCGTTGTAGTAGCAGAAATCAATGAAGTCCAGCTTGGAGTCGGCAAAGTACACCCTCTTGGTGGCTATATCCAAAGTCAAACCATTGGGCCAATAGATTTTGGTATTGATGATGGTCTTTCTCATTGATCCATCCATGCCAATCCTCTCCACTCTTGGGTTCTCTCCCCAGTCGGTCCAGAAAATCCATCTTGCTCCTGGACTGGGATCGATGCACATGCCTCTGGGCTGGGTGATATTCTCCCTGACCAAGACTAGGCGATTCGAACCGTTCTCTGCGGACACTTCGATGGTGTTCAGTTTACTGTCCAGCCAATAGAGATTCTGAGCTATCCAATCGTAGGCCAGTCCCTCGACCAAATCCAGACCTGTGTTGATGATTTCCTGGGGCTCCATGCCGCGATCCAATCGGGAGATCTTCTTCAGTTTCATGTCACTCCAGAAAATGGTGCCTGTGTGCATATTTGAGGCAGTGGCCACCACATTTTCCACTATGATGGGCACCCTCTCGAGTCCTTGTTCCTTAAGATCTGCGACCAGTATGGAATGACGATTGGAGATGATCAGGAAGGCAGTGGTGTGGTTAACAGCCTTGCAAGTGTGTTTGTTGGGCTCCAGGATATAGCCGTCTGTGCAGGAACAGAAGTAGGAGCCCTTGGTGTTGGTACATTGCTGGGAGCACAGCCCTGGTGGATCGCATTCGTTCGAGTCTATGCAGGTAAAGCCATCTTCACCGATTTCCGAACCAGGCGGGCAAACACACAATGCCCCGTTGGGAGTCTTCTGACAGAAGCTGGAACACTGACCAGCCTGATGCTCACATTCAGCCAGATCGCAGCCCTCACCCTCATCCGAACCATTGGGACAATCGGGGGTGTCGTCACAGACGGAAGTGATATTGACACACCTCTCGGAAACTCCAGGACATTGCCACTGGCCGTGGGGACACTTAAAGGGTGGTGGGACACAGGCATGCTCGGCTCCCTCATCCGAGTTATCGCCGCAGTCATCCTTACCATCGCAAATGTAGGCCTTGAACACACAATTTGTGTTGTTGCACTTGAAGAAGTTTTGGGCACAAGTGATCTGGCCACAGTCCTGCTCATCCGAATGATCCGAACAGTCATTGCTGCCATCACAATGCCAGGCAATGGGTATGCAAAAGCCAGTGGACTTGCAGCGGAAATGCTTCTCCAGATTGCACTGATTAGGTCCCATTGGTGGGCAGCCCACTTCATCGGAGCCATCATTACAGTCCGGTATGCCATCACATTTATAAGACTCCTCTACACATTGCCTGAGATCCGCGCACTTAAATTGATTCGCCAGACAGGAGATCGGCGGACAGTCCTTCTCGTCTTGCTTATCGAAGCAATCGTCGTCGCCGTCGCAAACCCAGCTCTGGGGAATACAGTGACCCGTTCTCGGGCATGTGAACTGGAAGTAGGCGCAGGTCTTTTCGGCACAGAAGTCGCCCTCATCACTGCTATCTCCGCAATCGTTTTCACTGTCACACTTCCACATGTTAGGAATGCATCGACCATTGGCGCAGGCAAACTGAGAGGTTCCACAGGTCACATTGCCGCACTCCTGCTCATCGGAGTTGTCGCCACAATCGTTCTCCTGGTCGCAGCGGAAGTTCTGAGGAATACAGCGACCCGATCGGCACTGGAACTCGTTCGATCCACAGGTGGGTTCTACGGATTGAAAGAGAATAAGGAAAGGATTCGATTTATAATTAGATTAAAACAAAGTTCCAAGTATTCTATACTTACTCGTGCAGTTCTGCTCCTCATCACTATTGTCCAGACAATCATCATCTCCATCGCAGACCCAAGACTTCGGAATACACCTCTGGTTGTTGCACGTAAAGTCCCACGAATTCGGACAAGGTTGCACTGGTGGCTCGGCACTGGGATCGGGGATGCAGCTCATTTGATCCTCGGCCAATCGTTCGCCATAGGGACACGAGCAGCGAGCCTGCAGGTGACCGAACGAAGGAGGCGAAGTGGTGACCTCGCCAGAAGTACCATTTTGTCCTCCTATGGGAACTGCGAAGCAGATCTTCTGGCAGCCACCATTGTTCCTGTGGCAAGGTTGCGTATCTGCGATTTTCTGGACTTCATGACTGTAGACCTTAACTCCATAGAGTCTGTTTGTCTGTGGTTCTCTGACCATCATCTCCTCCTGCTCGCCAGTGAGTTTGTGTAGCCTGATAATGGCATCCAAACGCCAATCCGTGATATACATCCAATCGTTGTGAATGACAATCGAGAAGGGGTGTCGCACAAGTCGGGAGTTCACTGTCTTAATATCTGTTCCATCCAAATTGGCATGCTGTACATGATCTAAGAGAGCATCACACCAATAGACACGATCCTTCTTGAAGTCAATGGACAGACCATTCGGCCAGCCAAGGGTCACATTTTTGAATACCAGCAGACCAGTACCATCCGTATTTGCTCTGGTAATATTGGCGGGACGATCCCATTCGGAGAAGAAGATAAAACCACGATTGGGGTGGACCACAATGGCTCTGGGCCGTTTAAGGTTCTTCAAGAGTGTTCTTCTGTGGGTGACATTGCGGGTGGAGAGTACATTTAGTGTGCCTTTGCGGGAATCAATGTAGTACAGATTCTTGGAGGCCCAATCGACGGCCAGTCCCTCAACTCCTTCATTCTGGGAGGCCAAAACGATCTCCCTGCCAGTTCCGTTTCGGTGCACCCTATAGATCACATCCTGCAGAACATCCGAGTAGTAGATGAACTCATCGCGGGCATCGAAGTCCAGGCCCACGAAACGAGCTCTCCTCGAGACCACCGGCATAATAGCATCGCTGAATCCTTCAATGACTGGTTCCAGAACCTTTCCTTTGATGAATCTCTGCTGCGAGTACATAAGGAACTCGCTGACTGGCTTGCACAGTTTCAGATCCGTCTCCAGTTGGTAGCCCGTGGAGCAGGCACATCGGAAACCCAGGCCAGTAGGAGCTCCCTTAACAGCGGTCACGATGCACATGTGATTGCAGCCACCGTTATTGTTGCCACAGGGATTCGATACCCTGGGTTGACTGAGTGCATGGACAGCAATGATGCCCTTCGGCTCTCGGATGTCCTTGGCCTTGTATGTCACTTGGATGGAGGAAGGACCCTCGAATTTGTCGACCGACATGATACCCTGCTTGGTGGCATCCGTCCAGTAGATCCTGTTTTCGAACAGAGCCAATCGAGAGGGGCTCGGCACCTGTTGACCCCTGAGCACCATCACCCGATGAGCTCCCTCATAGTCCACGGACTCGATGTAGTCCAGCAAGGAGTCGCACCAGAAGACACGCTTGCTGATTATGTCCACCGTAACGCCGCTGGCCTTGTAGGCAGCTTCTGAGACAATGGACCTGGCATGTGTACCATCCATATGGGCACGGAGCACCTGGCCGCCATCGGCCACGAACATCAGACCCGCCGTGGGATCCAGCGCTAGATCGGCGGGTGAAGTCAAGTTGGAACCCAAGACCACGGCATGCCATTGACCACTCAGCTCGAAGACATCGATCTTCTGTCCCACCAGATCGGCCACATATATCTTATCGCCTACCCAATCTACGGCAAGGGCGACGGGAGCCCAAGTTCCGGGAAGGGTCTGATCGAATGGAGAGACGGCCTTGTTCTGATCATCCAGGGGCAGGGATTGCACCTTTCTCGTCTTAATGTCCGACCAGTACAGTGTGTTCCTGGCATAATGGAATGTCACACCAGCCGCAGCTGTTGCATTGGCCAAAACCTTGGGCTCACTGCCATGGGGCAGCATTCGCATAATGGCCCGGTCGTGGGCAAAGATCAGTTGCAGGTTATTCGCATCCGGGGCAATGCACTTGGAGTCATTGATGAGTGTATAGCCCTGGGCACATTGGCACGTGTACGACCCCAGGGTGTTGGTGCACAGCTGGTCGCAGTGACCCCACTCGGCACACTCGTCTAGGTCAACGCAGGTCCGGTTGTCCGAGGATAGCGATTGACCTGGCTTGCAGTAACAAACACCACCAGTCAGTGAAGGTCCGCACTTGAACTCACAGCTCAGAGCGGGACACGAGGCAATAGCTGAATATATAGAGGAGAAGATCAGAATAATACCAGTCAGTTTTTCTATACAGACTCAAAAATGTAACAAAAAAGGGTTAACTTAAAAAGGAAATGGTTGAGTCGAATCATGATGGATTGAACTAAAGAAGGCCTTCCTTGATACAAATCCGTTTTGAATTTCCTGAGAGGGTTATGTTCGCCTTGCAATACAGGAAATGGGGGATCGGCTTTCCCTTAGGGATACTCACAGCAATTGGTCTCCTCATCACTGCCATCCTCGCAGTCTCGCTTGCCGTCGCACAGTTGCGACTTCAGGATGCACTTGGGGGTGCCACTGGCTCCTCCTCGCGGACAGAGGTGCTTGTTATCCGGGCAGGCAATGGCCGTGCAGTTGGCCTCGTCGCTCTTGTCGGCGCAATCGTGGTAGCCGTCACAGTGGAAGTTGTAAGGGATGCACAGTGCATTCGAGCACCGGAACTGGGCATGGTGGCAGGGCGGAAAATCTAAAAAAAATATGGTATGGTATATATGAATTAAAGGTTTTTCTCTTTAAAAAATTAAATCTATATCATTTTTATGTTTTAATATATTTTATACTCGATAGTTGATTGAAGAAAATCATTTGCAAGTTATCAGAAATTAAAATATTGTTTAGATTAATAAATTTTATGGACTTACTGCAAGCCAGTTCGTCAGAGTTGTCTCCGCAGTCATCGCGATGGTTGCACTTCAGAGAGGCATCGATGCACTTGTGTCCGTTGGCGCAGCGGAACTGGTCCAGGCGACAGGACACACCGCTGCATTCCTCCTCGTCGCGACCGGTGCGGCAATCCAGATAGCCGTCGCAGCGCTTCTCCTTCGGCACACAGGGACCGGCGAGGCGGGTGCCTTCCGCGGGGGCGGCTCCGTTGGGGGCATTGCAAAACACGTCCGTGTGCTGGCACTTGCGGTAGGCTGGAAAATTCAAGAAAATTCCATCATCGTTTAGTTTAATCTGCTTTTATTACATGTAAGGTTATATGACCAAAATGAGTATTAATAATATTTAATTACTGATATTTCAAAAGAAGTACAATATTAATTGCTTTTTAATCATTTACCAACTTAAAGCTAAGCAATTACACAATTAATTTATGATTTTTTATTGCTTCCGCCGGGCTATTGTTTGGAAATTTGGTCAAGAACCCTCTGAGATAATAATCTGTACATGACTGCACTCAATTAGGGCTCATTTCTGGCCTCTCTCCATTGTGATTAATTGCATTTGCATTGAGAGTTAAGCTCTTGACCCATCCATAGAAGATTTGGAGCCGAGTCAATGGCTCAATGGGGTTTCCCTGGATACCGGACCCATTGTCCGAGGACCCAGCCAGTTTCTCGGCTCATCAGCCATCCAGTATTTTAATGGGGTTGCCTTAAAAATGGCAGGCCAAAACTATTTGTGCTGCCAAAGACATTAAATTTTGATGCCCGGCATTCGAAGGGATTCTGGCTTTCGGTTTTGGGGTTTGGGGCCGTTGCCTGGGCACGCATGGCGTATACATAATGCATGGCCGCTGTACCAATGTCGGGCGTGATTGTCTGTCCGCTCGACTCGTCCGTTTGTCCGTCCATCTCTCCCGGATTGTGCACTTGAGTTGTGTGTGTCGGCAGGCAAAAGTGCTATAAATTATCGAGTAGTTGGTTGCAGGACCCTCCTCCCGACGGCCACACAAAAAAGGGATGCCATTAGAGGTATAAGGGAAGGGACTTGGAATACCTCTTACTTTAAGAATAAATCAAAATATTATTAAATACTGATATATACAAAAGCAACAAAATTGAAAAACTTTGAAAAATAATTTAGCTACTTTTCATATAAACATTTTTTAAGCTATATAGTTTTGCTGCTATGAGGGCTTAGATAAATCGCAATAACTAGGTGTTCTTAACTTGATATTTGTATATGTAACCAATCCACTTTCATTATATTTCTACAGGGTATCCGGATTGAAGCGGAGGGTGTGGACCTGTCAAGGGTTCGGTTAACAAGAAAGAGGTAGCAGGGAAAGTCGTGCATTTGAATGACTAAATTAGAACAACTGCTGGGGAATCGGGGCTTTAAGATGATATATGTGCGTTTGACGGGGACATATGTTATGTCCATAGGCATTAGGGTGAACCATAACATGGTAGACCATCACAGATGTAACTTGTTTCGAACATATGATTTGATTTGGTTTCTCACTAAGGGGGGTTCTTAAAGAAGTTATTATTTATCAAGGAAGAATTTAAAAAATAGGCAAACAAGACATGCTGTTTTTAATTATAAACTTTAGAGTTTATAGTTTGTCTTAGGAAATCGCCACTGCAGTTGTGTCCACGGTTCTGCCTGAATCCTGGCCTGCTTTGCGGACGTCCCGTTGATCTATACCCGTTCCCCGTCTCTCTGGACATCATAAACTTGGCAACGAGTATTTTATGCATGTCTCCCGCTCCTTAAGCCGCATTCTCTGGCCAGGATTCGCTTGACTCCCCTATATCCTCTTTGCCAGTCCCCCCGCCCGATTAACTCCCGGAACATAAGCGTGGAACTGGGGGCCACAGGACTCCAGCCGGAGTCCCCAACGGGAGCATCCGAGTGTGGCAGGGCAAACTTAATTAGTGCAAGTTAAACAAGCCAAGTTGTATAAATATTCCCCGACAGCGCAAAACTTTCTCCAAGCAAAACAATGGAATGCGTATCCTGGCGCTGCGTCTGTGTAAGTGTCCCCGTCTGCGTGGCCTGGATGTGAGTGTTAGTGTGTGTGTGTTAGTGCAGGTAAATGCAGTACAGGAAAAAAATCATATATATTAGATGTACATTTAACAGGTGTGTGAGGTTATTCAAGTTGACTTAAATCTGTTAAATCTCAATTATGAATTCAGTTTTCTTGTTAAATCCAATTTAGAATTTACAATTCATTTATAATTTAACTTAAAGTTTAGTTTATGCTAGTTCTGTATAATTTAAATATTAATATTGGAGTTGGTTTAAGGTCTCAAATAATCAAGACAAATGACGGAAACGTAGGCACCTATATAACGTATACGCCTCGTTCGCAGATAAACTTTTCAAAATGAAATCCTGGTCAACCTTAAGCAGTTACTGAATATTAATAAATTAATATATTAACATTAGTTTTATGTTAATTCATATTTTTTGTCGTGTAACTATCTATTTTGTTTGCTTCCTGCTTTTTCTATTGACAAAGTGGAGCAGCGGAAGTGAAACTTTGTGCACCTCCGACTCCGGTGATCATAAAAATGTGTCACGCACTCGGGGCAGTCTCTCCACTTTTGCCCCACATTCCCGGCGACTTACTCCTCTGAAAGTATTCCTTTTCCCCACCAACATTCCCTGGCATTAACATTTTCCTGCTAATCCTTCGACCCCTTGCAATTTGTGGGCGTGGCCTGGCCAGTAGATTTACGCCAAACAATTTGTTATAAATTTCGTTAGCTGTCTCGTTTCTCTTTCCCTCCTGAACTTTTGCATTGCATTAAAGGCAAATCATAATGACAAACGAGGGGCGTGGCTAGTTTGGCGTTATCGCAAATGCAATTTTCGCAAGCCAATCGAAAAGGGGGGGAAAATAATATTATTTTTCGTATTTGAAATATTTAAAGCGATCAATTTTCTGATTTAATAGATGAAAAAGAGAGTAAGTCAGATATTTTATTTATTTTTTATCCAATTTATCACTAACTTTTTACCAATTCCCTTTTCACACTCTCCTCTTAACTTAATTTTTGCACTGCCTTCCGTTTGGCCGTAAAACTTTTGGCCCTAAACTTTAACCAAAAAGCGAGGGGTTTTCTGCATTGTTGCTGGCACTTTATAAACAACAAATCCACCCACCGCCGCCGCCTTTCTCTTTCCACTTTTTTTTTCAAACCAAACACTTTCTAATTGGGTTCTCTGGTTCTTTCGCTGGCTGTTTTCTCAGCATTAACTTTTATTGCAAGCCAAGACTTTTTATGCGTGTAAGAGGGGGTTTTTTTTTGGGAGAGGGTAGAAAGGCGGAGGGCAGCTGAAGGGGTGTGTAATTACGCGCGACAAGTGCCACACCCCCTCCTCGCACCGCTACCCTACAGTCGCGTCACGTTTAGCTGCAGTCAAATAAACGTCAGCTGCAATCGTCGCCACTCAGAGAAAGTCGGAGAAAAAGGGGAAAAGCTCAAGAGAATGGGGGGGAGGAGAAATGGGACTGGAGAAAGGAGAAGAGCGGGGGAGATGACTAGTTTATGAGACAGTTAACAGTGCTGAAAACTTGGCTTCCGAAACGCCAAAAATGTATGACAACAGAGGTCAGGTTAAGGGCACGCTAATGAAGGCAAGCAGAAAGTTTAATTATAGAAATGATAATCAAAGTAGCTAATAACTGTCAGAAGAACTTGAACTTACAAATTCATTTCTCACATTATAAATAATAAAAAAGATTCCCTGAAACTTAAATGTATGTAAACAATCAAAAATGTTTCCATAAATCGAATATCTTTAAAGTGCCAAAATGATAAAAAGGCAAATAAATCTTTATAATAACAGTTTCTTATAATTTGCGAGTATAAAGAAACAGTTTGAATAAAAATATCCAAGCATTTTCCCTACTTGATTTGTCTTCCTTTGCCTGCCTTACTGACATTTGGCATCACTAGATGGACAGTTAAATGAAATGAAGGTGACTATAACACTGAAGTTCTGCGGAGACAGGTATTGAAGGGGTGTTTTTCTTCAGGGTAAGGGAATGGGAATGGGAAAACTCAGGGGCTTAGGGCTCTGGTAATGACGGTTTAAGCTCTTCACTCTCTTTGGTTTTACGCACTTTTTACGCAGCAATATCTGCCTCATTAGATGCTGCCTGCAATTAAAAGCGAAATGCGAAATGTCCGCGTGGAAAACCTACTTAGAAAATTCGCCTTAACTTGCTACTCAACCCACCACTTCGTTTTAGCCATAAACAAGTAAGAGCGCTTCAGCCTCTATTTATACTTCAGTTTCAGCTTGTTGACTTGCGACCGCAACGCAGGCGAAACGGAAATGAAAATAATCGAGCGGAAGTGGGCGTAGGAGTGGGTCGGTGGCAGATAAAGTAACTTCCAAACAGATGTCTGCTGTTTGTTCTCACAGTTATTAGTTGCTTTTGAGGTGTTCTTACGAAAACAATTTCTAAATCTTTGATTACACAAAGGAAAATATCAACTAAATTTTATATTTTAAACATTTAAATCGTTTAGAAAGTTGAAAATACAAAATTGTTCAACTAATTACATAGCTAATTTGAAACCTTAGTCCTGCACATAATTGTTTTTAACATCTCTATTCATTTAATATAATCTAAAATTGTGAGCTCATAAACTATTCAGTTTGCCAGCCAAATTGGTTTTAAATTGCATTTTGTTTATGCTAAAAGAGTTTGTGACGAGTTGCCATCTGTAAAGCTGTAAACTTAATAATTAGTTTGAAAATATATATCGTAACGTGATTCAGAAGTCTAAAAATGTAATTCGCAGACCAGCAATCTGTTTAGAAAAGACAACCACATGCGAAGCCCCTGATTTTAATTGCACACAACGAGGGAAATGTGGGTGTAATTCTCATCGCCATGACTACCCGACTGCTGGCTGGGTGTGTGCACTATCTACCTGGCCTGGCTTCCATCTTCCCACATCCAGGTCCACATTTCCACATATCCACATCCATCTCCCTGCTCGCACAACACCTGAAGTAATTAAATAGTTGAAATAAGCCCGCTCTAATATTTATATGCCATAAATTAAGCAAACAAAGGCGAACGGAGGCAAACAAACACAGATACGCACTCACACACAGACACATATCTTTACAGGTTAGAGGCGGGTGGCTTAAAGGGCGTGCCAAAAAGGGGGGCTACTGTCACCCTGACTGAAGAAGACGACGCGTTGACACGTACGCAAAATAAATTTGTTAAGAACGCAATAAGAGTGAACATTTTGTCGCCATTTAAGCGCGATAAATTATTGTGCAACAAAGTGTGACAGAGGCAGGGGAATAGGGCGAGAGGATGTAGACAGAGACAAAGATAGAGATAGAGATAGAGATATAGGGAATGCTCTCCTTTTACGGCAACGTCTTATTAAATTAAAATGAAATTTAAACTTGATCTTGTGCCGGCAAAACTTTCTGCGCCAAAAAGGAATAACTATCTACCCAACTCTTCTACATTTTGGCATCAGAGTTGGCTCTGAGTGTTTAGAAGTAGCCAAAAAATGGTTTTACATAATATTGGTTAACGAAAGAATAAGAATAAAATATATATTATATTTTAGTTAGACAAATGTAAGTTACCTAAGACTGCATTCCTCAATTTTATTAAACTTTTTATCAGACTGCTTGTGTAACTTTTAGTAAAAATATAACTTTTAGCACAAACTTTACATTCATTTTCTAGCTGATAAAAATTTGAGTAGGGCCAAAAAATCTTTTTCCTAAAGGTACTAAAAGATATTCCATATTTATTAAAATATTTCCCTTTTAGCTAGCTAGAAAGTTAGAAAGCCAACTGATCAGTTCCATTTTTAGCGGACAAATTGGCCTTCTAGCTTGGCTTAGGTGTGCGAGCGGAACGGCTAGTCGCAGTGCGAAAGAGAGAGGGCTAACGCAGGACAAAGTTGTGGGGCGTTTGTCTAGCCGTTTTCCCCCCGTTTTCCAAGTAGCGGGAGTAGTCAAAGCTGCCAGCTGAAGTTGTACAAAAGGATGCCGGAAAAGCGAGTGGGGGGGAAGAGCGGAAAAGCGGGACACTTGGAAATTGGTCGCCTCAAAGATATTTAAATATTTGTTTGCCTGTCGGTGCGAGTCAGTGTGTGTATGTGTGCGGGTGCATAAATCTTAAATAACAAGCAATAAATGCTCTACAAGTCCCGGGCACTTTTCGGCGATTTGCATGGACATGCTGCCATCCCGCTCTGGCCACTATCCCCCTCGCTTTCTCATACTCGACTCCCTTTCTTTGGATTCTCACTCGGCAAACTTTTAATCAAAATGTGCGGCTCACAGTCTGCTGGCTGAATGCACTTGAACTTTATGCCAAAAGGAAAGTCCGGGAAAAGCAAGGAAGGCGGCCAGGCGGCTAGAGGGGGACCGATAAGTCTGAGAAAGAGAGGGCCATAAGGCTTTCCACCATACAAAGTCCATCCGAGCGAGAGCTGTTGAAAATGCATTAAATTCTTTACTCAACGAGCAGACAACAGACTTTCGAGTTGAGGTGCTGCAAAAGTGGGCGTTGGATGGTCTTCGGGATGGTCCATGGGAAAGGCACTGGGTGATCTGTCAGTGGATTATTAAAGTTCTCAGCGATAAATATTACCCCGAATTCCAAGAGGCAAAATTAATCGGTGGCCAAAGAAAATTGAGAAAAAGCCAAGTGCAGAAAAGTTGTCATTGTAATGTTTTCCTAACTTAAATATATTTTTTCTTGCCAAGTTTCCTTTAGTCTACATCCGTAATAAGGATGTTTATTGGAAAACTTTAAGAACACAACAACTATAGTTTAAACTGAGCTATTACCCACCTTAATTTAAAATACACATATATGTACATATCCTCCCAGTAAAGTTTTATTTGAAAGACTGCTGGGGGTTTTCATCGCCTTTAACCCCTCGACTCAACTTAACTGAACTTCATTTGCGATTCCAGCCATGAACCTCTCAACAGAAAACAACTTCGGCCGGCCATCATCAATTCCACTAGCTAACGGGTTAACCTTTTACCCTTAACCCCTGGCCCACGGGAAAGATTTATGGCCCCACATCAAATTGATCCATTTCTGTTCGCCTTGAGTTTTCCTCGCTAATTTGCGGCCTTTACCTTGGGGATTTCCCAGATATTTCTTCAAGCTTTTTCTCTCTCTTTCTCTCTCTCTCTCTATATATATATATATATATAGATATCTATGTATATATATATAAATTTATTATGTCTGTAAATATTTTGTGTATACTACTGGCACGCTTGTGTAATTTAGTTGGGAAAACAAGAACTGCGGTCTTCGGTTACATCTCTGTGTTGAAATTTGCATAAATAAAATTGGCATAATAAAATGTAAACATTTTGCTAAGCAAATTGTTACACCACCACTACCCTCTTAGAAGGGATTCCTCTCAAGGACTTAGCCGGATGAGGATGAGGATGAGGAAGAGGCTGAGCTGGCCAATATTTGTGGAGTCAACAAATTTACATTGAAAGCGAGAAAAGGCACGAAATCCTTGAATTTGAAATGTGGTTATCCCTATTATTCCTTAACAATCTATGTATATAGCGGGGATATACATATATATATATATTTGGTACTCACTGCACTGCGCCTCATCCGATTTGTCCTCGCAATCCTCGATCATATCGCAGCGGTAGTGCGGAGGGATACAATAGGTCTTGTTGAACACATACTGCCCGCAGTTCAGCTGGGGAGTTTCGCATTCCGGTGGGGCTGTAATTTAGAATTAAAAATATATGATTAAGATATTCTCTTATTTAGTTTATTAATTAATAGTTACTGATGCCCGCTTGGCCAAGTTAAGCTCAATTTTGAAACAGTTACTTTTCGATCCTAACAGGAAAAGGTACTAAAAAATACCAATCGTACTTATCGATAACTATAAAGACTTCGGCTCACAACTCCGTTGTTTGGTTGAGATACTGATATCACACTTTAAGGAAGATGCTATTAGGGCAAGATACTGATGTCACACTTTTAGGCAGTTTTTTTTTTAATTCAAGAAAAATAATTTTCTTTTTTATCCAAAATAACTTAAAGTTAAATGCATTTCCTGAGTATTTTAAAAATATTAAAATAAAAGTAACATGAATGCATTTTCATTGAACCTTTTGCAATAATCAGATCCTCGATAAGCACGCGTTCAATTTAATTAATTTCTGAAAATCCTGCGGATAATAGCTGAAGTGAAATTCGATTTCTGAAAATTCCAGCGGATAATGGCTCGAGGGAAATTCGATTAAACAATTCAACGAATGGCCGACGCTGAGCCCTTGAATACTTTCTTGGTTTCTTCGCCAGCGAATTGCATGGCTCACTTAATTACTGTCTACAATTTCATATTTTAATTATGGTTTTCCACGGATTTCCACCGGATGGTGACTACCGTCATTGGATAGGTTGGTCATTGGTACTTACGGCACGACTGCATCTCATCCTCGCCATCGTCACAGTCCTTCTGGTAATTGCAGACCCAGTGGTGCGAGATGCACTTGCCGTTGTTGCAGCGAAACGAGTCCGTTGGACACTCCGTATTGATGCCACTGCCACCTGTGCTGGCCAAGCTGCCACCTGGAAAATAGAGGCAAAGCGGAATATCAGTAAGGGCTCTCTTTGTCGAACTAATTGGCATGTGACTGCCGCTTTGTCAGCTAACTTATCCGCAAGCAAGTCGGCCCCAAACTTTGGTAATAACCAATGCAGGGCCAGTAAACAAGCGGCCAAATGGCCAATGCACTTGGAAATATTATTAGAAAAGGTTAAAAGACTAAACATAGTAATGCATTTTAAGGTAAATATTTAAATTAAATGAGGAAAAGTTAAGTTAACAGCTTGTTGGTCCTTATTTCTTCATAAAAAATACTTAAAAGATGGCCATTAATATATATAAAAATATTAGAGTTATTATTTATATAAAAAGAATGTATAAATAATGCTTTTTCTAAGAGTTAACAAGTTAGCAAAGTCACTATAAATATTTTTTATGATGTAGATTTTTAGTTTTTGTAATTTAAGAGATACCTTCTTGAGTTATTTCTTAAAGTTTCCCTACAAATCTATCTCAGGCTTAACCCAGACATTTAATTAACCCTTCAGAAGCACTGAATTTGTTTATAATTAAAAACATGCTATATTTGTGTTGTTCCTTGGCATTTATTTAAATTATAAATGCTTTCCTGCTAATTAACAAGCTGAGAATGCACTTTTTCGAGTGTTGAAAAAAGGAGCTTGGAAAAAGGAAGGCCTGGGTGCAGACAACAAAAGACTGTCATAAAATGGCAGCTGCAAGGATGCGCCTCAACTTTTGTGGCTGCCAAAGCCGCCGCGGCTAATGGCCTTGTCACACACACTAACACATAAACACACACACACAAGCACACATGGGGAGAACTGCAGGAAGAACTGCAACAGCAGAGGCCAAGGAAAAAGGAGCAGGCAAGTCAGAACGCGACCGGAAATGCTTAGCTGGGATTTCTTCTCAACGGGGAAAATGGCGCAGGGAAAATGTCGAAGGGGCTGTGGAAAATGGCAGAGAGAATGTGGAGCACAGGGGCGGAACGGAACGGAACGGAGGGCCAAAGGGGTCGACTGTTCAGTTTTTGGGGCCAGGGCGCTGACAATGTCATTTGTTTCCGGCTACGTGCACTCTGCACGTGCCCAACTTTTTGCGGCCAAGTGAGAGAAAGTGGAGAAAGGCGGATAGTTCCCTTTATTCCCTCTATTTTTTCCCATCTTTTTTTCTCTTCTTCTCTTTTTCGCTTTGGATGCACCTGCTACAGCTGCAACTTCCAATGGCGCATCTTCGATGGTAGTTGAAACCGAACTTCAATTAAGCCCGATTCGAAGTGAAGTTAACAGAATTGGCACAAACTAAAGCCAAGAATTGAAACTGAATTGAGGGCAGAAAAGGAGAAGCACAAAGGACCTGTCAAATAAGAAAGGAAAAACAATAGAAAACTCTAAGGAGAAAATGCTTTCAGGATAATCAAGACATCGAGAAAGTTTCAAATTTCATTTAAACCTCCAGAAAAACAATATTTTTAATTAGGTTTTATAGTTAACAATTGTTTTGAAATGTTTTTTATGCATTTTAAGGAATATTTTATTTTATCTTTTTCAATTTCAAGCAATAATTTTTCAATGTTGCAACTTTGGGCACTTTTCGCTTTTAACTTTCTTGGGAAACATTTTCAATTAATCTGCCATAAACAGGTTAAATAGCAACAGCCACTACTAAAGTTATGTGGTTGGCCTGCAGAAACACACATAAGCCCACCTACCCACCTTTCTACCTCCCAATCTGCCCATATCTTTCCACCTACCGAAAAGCCACCTTTGAAATAAACCCCAAAACTTCATGTCTAATTATGCATCTAATTAGTGAGTGCATTCTCCGTTTGGCAATTCATGCCGAAATTATTTTTGCCGCTTCCGTGGCATAATAAGAGCCAAACCGCAGACGACAACCATGGCAGAGCCCCCTGATTTACCAACCCACCTCCCACCTTCCTTCATGCAATTCATTGCGAATTTGAAGTACGCATGCCGCATCCCACAGAATGAGAACGGGAGTCATGTTTTATCACAGCGTATAATTCACATTCGCATTTCAAGGGGATTCCCCTCTTTAATTGTGCCACGCGAAACCTTCCATTCATGCATTATGTTGCTCAAATAATAATAATAATAATAATTGCGGAAAATGTTCGTCACAGGCGTTCTAAGGTTTATGAAAATATCTTGAATCTATTCTAGTTTTTATTTAATATTTGTTTCCTTTTAATTTTTTAATATTTAAACATTTTTTAAGGGTTTCAATATCTGCAGAAAATGGTTTTAATTTCATTGCAAATTTGTTTGCTTTTCTACATTTTTCACTTTTCTATTGATTTTCCCATTGCATTTCAAATATTTTTAACCACTGTCCAAGGACTCGACCCGCATCTGTTCTCCTGAACTTTTCTTACTTCGTTTGTTTGCCACTTTGTTGTGGAAAAAGCCTCTTGGAATAGTTTTTGGCTGCCAGGGAAACTATTTTTGGTGTCCAAGTTCCGAAAAAAAAAAAACGAGTAGCAAACTGCCTTTGATGTGCCCGCACAAAAGTTGTCCCCCAGAATGTTGGATAATGACACAAGGCGGTGGGATAACCTCTCTCTCCTACCCATCTATCCCCAAACCCAAACCCAAATCCAAATCCAACTCCGACTCGGGCAAATTCCTGTCCTCCCATCAACCGCGACAACATCAAAATGCACGTTATTAAGTATTATGTTGCTGTTGCTGCTTCTATTTGTTTTTATTGTTATGGGCCATGTTATGGCCATGTCCTGGCCCTCGTCCTCATCCTTATCCTCAACCCCCAAACCTGCTCCTTTTCCTACCATTTTCCTGGCAACAGCATCAACGGTTTTAAGAGCTTACAAAATATTTTGTAATTTTGTCACGTCTCAACTTTGGCGACGTCACTTAAAATTACATTTAGCAAAAAAAAAAACAGGCAAAAAAGTACCCAAACAAAGGAACCAACCAGGAAATAATGTTTGTCTGCGATTTTCCCTTTGCAGTTATTTTCGACAAGGGTAAATCAAAAATAGATGAATGGATGGCTGGATGGCTGGGCGAATAATGTGATGGCCAAGGTTTTTCCCATTCACTTTAAGATAGATTTGGAAATCCGAAGGTTTAGGGAGAGAAACTAAGGTGAAACTAATTTCATAAAAGATGAAATAAACAGAGAGATTTGTAGTAATTAATCTCCTTGAAAACTGTTACTTGAAAAACAAAAACTCAGTGTGTTTGTTAACAAGTTTGAGAAGCCTATTCACATCATTTTTTTATTGGTCATTGAGTAGTTTTAAACCGATTTGTAATCTCCTTTCGTCCAGACAGGTGAAAACAATCGAAATTGTGGAATTGAATTTTCCTCGAGGCCTTTTTCGGTTTTTGATTTTCGATTTTATATGCTCTCAATCCAGCTTAGCCCCAAATATATAGCTTATAAGTGAGTTTAGCCCACATCCTGTTCTCGTTTCCCAAAAGCTTTTGTTGCTAAATTTCGCAGAAACAAGCATAAATCAATGTTTGGCTTTGGCCAGAACAAAAGGATTTGCGGCAAATCAAAATGGAAATAGATATTTCCATTCTAAGTATGTCATGAATAGATAGTTTACAATTTTTCCGCATACTTCTACGCCATTCGGATTCTGCACTGACAAAAAATAGCGGCTTGAAAAACATTTTTAAATATATAAAAATAGATTCCTAAAATCTTATAATTTCCTTATAATAAATGACATTTTTCTGTGTGTTTGCATCAGTGCCCATGACCATGGCTTTAGTGGGTTAAGGCGGAGATATTCAGCGGGCGGGGAACTACCAGACTGATGCCACCAAAAAGTGCATGCCGCATTTGGAAATATTCCCCCTTCGCCGGAGTCTCTTTGGCTGCCTTTTCATACATTTATTACCATGAATTTCCATTACTCACTTAAAGAGGGGAAAATCAGCAGGGATGGTGAGGGGATTATGGGGGCGTGGCCGCAAATATGGCAGTCAGACAAACGCGTTATGGGAACTGCGGAGCAGAGCAGAGCAGAGCAGAGCTTCCCGACTCTCTCGAAGATTCATCAATGAATTTATCAGTTTTTATAGGCAATTTATTATTTATTGATGGCACTGCCACTGGCTAAAAGAGATCCTTTGGGAGAGCGGTGCAGGAGTGGTTGGAGCGGGTGGGTTGGATATGGATACTACCCATATATATATCCAGTATATCCATCTCCAGTCACACACACACACACACACAGAGCCAGCCACGCATAGCATACATTTGAGGGCCAGACAATAACTGGCAACAGCTTTTCAAACTCCAAACGATTCTTTCTCTGAATTTTTGCAGCACATTTTTTTGGGGTTATTTTTTTTTTGAATAATGGCAGGGGCATGGGTGGGTTAAAGGCAGTTTGGTCATGTGGAGAGTGCATTTGGCAGTCATAAAGGAAGCGAAGCCAAAAAAGCAGACGAAGCCAAAGGGAATAAAATAATGGCAAGCGAAAAGCGGGCCTGACTGCTATGGAAATGCCCTCTTAAATGTTAACTAAAAACTAATAACTAACTAACTAACTTTTAGTTAGGAAATATATATAAAAAATATTGAAAACTTTAATAATTTATTTATATAATTTTATAAAGTTTAATAAATTTAATATCCTTCGCAAAATAAGGTGAATATTTTTGAAAATCTAAGTTTTTGCTTTCAATAATAAATAAATCCCTAATACAAAATGCCATCAAAGTGTTGTACTTAGCTGATATTCTTTGTCAAGAAACCCGGAAAAGGGAAACTGCAAAGGGGCCCAGCGCAACATTCAGCCGGAAAATGGAAAACGGCAAAAGTAATGCGAAAGCGATGAAGCCGCGTCATAATGTCCGGCAAATTGTTGCGGGCATTCGCATCGAGGCACGTCTCAGTTTACAATGTTTGCCTTTGATTTCCCATTCAGCGCATTAAAATTCCTTCAACGGGCTGCTTTCCAGTGGGTGGGCATGGCCTAGAGGTGGGATTTTAATGGATCGATTTCGATATTTACCGAAATGTAATTAAGCTAATTTGCATAGCTCCTTGAAATATATTTTATAGGCCTATGAATGAGCCTTTAAGTTATTTAAGCTCTAAGTTAAATAATATATAATTTAACATTAACATCAGAGCTGCTAGGCTGTATCTTCTCTAGAGAGATACAACCACCCACCCAAAGCTTAACCCATAAATTCGTTCAACAAATAGCCATATATCGATGACCACAGCCGCTTAACCCTCTCATGACCAGTAATGTGATTTCGTACGTGATTCAAAAACGGCAGCAGATGGTTAAGGCGGGGCGTCGAAGGGCTTGCCAGCTGGTGATTAATTTATAATTTTATTTAAATAATTAATTGCTCTGCAAAATGCCCCATAAAATGCATATTCCGGCATTAACTTATAAATAAATTCGTGACACTAAATCACATGACAAATTTTCCAGCATTAAATGTGATAAATTTCAAAGTGCAACAACGAAATGTTTATAAAAATATAAAAAAAAAATATTTGTTAAATAAAAAAGCAGACAAATAAATACGAAGCAAGCTGGGGAAAAAAAGACGAGCAAGTCAAAGTGGCAGCATAATAATAATTTATTTCTGAATGAGGCGCATAAATGGAAATAAATTAAATATTTATGCAGCATAACCTGGCCGGCAAACAAAGGCTGCCAAGGAGCAAAAGAAATTAAATAAATACAAATATAAATAAGCAAATAAATATGCCATCAAAAGGGGCAAGCGAAAAGGACAAGAATAAACAGACAACGGGGCTTAAAATAAAACTCACAAAAAAAGGCCAACAACCAAATGCAACTTGGCCAAAAACAAAATACAAAAAATACAAAAAATGCAAAAAAAATAGAACGGGGGGCTTCAGCAGAGATGCCGTTAATTATGCCACCAAAGTGAGAATCTTTTTTTTAACGAGTAAATTATTATACGCTGTCATGCAAATAGTTGCAATAAAAAAGGCAAAAACTCAGACACACAGGCGCCAGAGCATGGCCATAAAAGAAAAGGGCGTGCGGTTGATGGGGGTTTTCAGGGGGGAAGGGGGGCTGCAGGTTCTGGGGTATGGGACAGAAGGGGCAGCTGGCATAATTGCATGCGCGAAGCCAACACCCAACCCAAACTGCACTTCGTCTACCATTCCCACCCAAAAATCACACAAAAAAAAAACAGAATTTACAAAATAGTTTCAAGAGTAAAAATATGTTTTTATATAATTTAAATGATTTTAAAAATATATATTAAAAAAAACTTTGTTTTGTGGTTATAACTGACCTAAAATATTCAAAGATAAATTGATTTTTCTGATGGGAAAAACAAACTAGTCGAGCCGAAAAAAGTTTCATAAATAAAAAACAGGAATTGAGTTATTTATTAATTAGATGTTATTAAATTAAATATAATGAAATTTTTATAACAGTTTTGCTGTGCTAGAAAAAGGTTAATAAACAAAAATGACTGAATCTTAACCAAAAGTCTCAATCAAATTGATTTTATTCAAAAAAAAGCGATAAAAACTCCGTTTTTTAGATATATATATCAACTTCTAAATATACTAAAACTTAAATAAGTTCTGTTAAATAAAGTTCTATTTTTTTCAGTGCTCTGTCCTGGGACTCATTTGTATGCACACAGGCGGCCTATTATTTTTAGCGCTGACGTGGGCGACGACGCCAACGTCGACCCGCAACGGCTGTGAAGGGTTAATGCGACCGCGGCAACAAGCCAATGGATGGATACCGTGGATCCTGCATCTCTATACCCGGCATCCCTGGCCCATGATATGTGGACCACCGATGCGGACGATGACGTTGACGACGACGTCACAGCCGGCGGGAAAAGTAAACAGCGAATGGACAACGAGGGGGGGTGCAAAATGTTCCATGTATATAATTATATATTATATAATAAAAACAAAAAAACACTTTAATTTATGAAGAAAAAAAATATTACAAAAATATTTTATTTTAAGAAATTGAATTTTGTAATATATAAAATAATATTTTTATAGCTTAACTTATAACAAATCAAACTGCCCTCGCATTTGCTGCTTTCAACTGCAGGTCAAAAACACAGATACATACGCAGAAATACGCAGACACTCGCAATTTATATTTGATGACCTTACGCACATTCAATGAGCAAAACAAAAGCGAAAAATACTTCAAAGGACTTTCATGCAGGATTCTGAAACCTGGATCCAGGATCCCGGATCCACGACCCGTATCCGGAACACGACCAGTACACATGCACATACACTTACACATACAAACATATTAATAATAATCCCTGCGATCCGAAAAGCTGGCATAATTAATGGCACACAAACAAGCAGTTCATAAATTTTGAACCCCAAAGAAAAAACAAATAATAAGATTTACTTTTACTTAAACAAAGTAGCAGAAAAAGGAAACAGTACGTTAAACTAATATTTTTTGAGGCAAATAAAACAAGAAATAAAAATAATAGTTTAATTTAACTTAAAGTTTAAGTCTTAAACCTTGATTATAAACCTTATTTATAGGTTAAACTTGAACCCATAGAAAAAGTATAATTCTGATAAATTACGATTTTTAAATTGAAGCATTAAGCTTGTTTAAAATCTCTAACAATGGCAGCTTAATTTGTTTGTCAATAGTGGCAATAATGGAGGAGAAAAGATCCCAAGCAGGCGGAAAAGTGGGCGGACAAAGCGGGTGAAAGATATGTACGTGACATTGCAGGCAATCTGGGAAGCTGAGAAAAGTGACTCCATAAACACGTTGTGCAACCAAAAACACCAATAACTAAAGAAAAAAGAAAAAAAAAAACAAACAGTTTCAAACTAGCCGAGGCAACAAACACAAACAACGACAAAAACTCAAACTCAAACCGATAGGAAACAACAACAACTAGAGCAGGTAACCTGGCTACTTTATGCATAGCATAGCTACTTTTCGGTATTTTAAGATGTCATAATAAATATATACTAAAAGTACAGCTTTTAAAGTTATGATTATTGTTGTCTGGCAACATTTAAAATCTCTTTTCTTTTATGCATATTTATTGAATTTTTTAATTTTAAAGGCTATAAATTATTTCAAGAAATTTAAAGCCTTTGAAATTAAATAATTCCCAAATAAACATTTTCGCATTTCCTTCTTTCATGATTTTAATTTTTGGTTTACCTTTCAAGCCAGTTGGTTTTCGCTTTCTAGCTTTTTTTCGCTGATATTTGTCAGCTCCAAAAGCAAAAAAAAAAAAACACTGAAATTGAAGTGGGAGAAGGGGAATTCCCTCTATGTGACACACGGGAGAAATTAATGCCTGCCAAAATGCACGCCAGGCTGCTTTCTTTTTCGCGGCCCCTGCAACCCCAGCCGCTCCACCTGTCTCTTTCCACTGCTCGGCACGTTTCCCAAACAAATAGAGCGAGAGGGAGGATTAGCGAAAAGAAGAGACGGGGCTAGGGAATAACGTGCCAAAAGCAGAACACCAAAACAAAAATGAAAAAATCAAAGAAATCTCAGCCACCGAGATTTTTTGCGACAGACAAAAACACACACACACACACACACAACTTTGCCGCAACTTTAATGTGCGACAGAGAGGAGGAAAAGAAAAGAAAGAGAATGAGAAATCGGGGTTGTCATCTCGTTCTTAAGTTGATTTCAGATAATGTTTTCTTATGTTTTAAAATGCAAATTGCCAAGATGGAATAAAACTTATCAAATTACCTATTATTGGATTTGAAAATAAGCTTACAGAGCATAATGTTTCGATTACGGTATTTATCGACTAATATTAACCTTAAAAACGGTGCGCTTGTGTGGAAAAATGTACATTCTTTACAAATTAATCCAAGTATGTAAACGGGTATGCGACCTACTTAAGTTTATTAAATACGTAGGTGTTTCATTTAAAACTAGTAGCGATCCAAGCAATCCGTAGCAAACGAGTCGAAGAAAACCGAGCTGTGATCCGTGATTTCGATAAATAAGGTTGTTAAAAGTTTGCAAGACGGTTTTCATGACCAAAACTTGCAATTTAAACGTTTCCCAACACTAGACTGAAAAGCCGAAGCAAGCAAGAAAAGAAGGCGGCGAAAACGCAATTCATCGTAACCTATCAAAATCGAACGAAGGAAGTCAGTCTTCGAGATAATTCCAGTCGAGCTAGTCGATCAGATCCTAATATTTTTCGGAAGGTAATTAACTTTTACATTAGGATCATGGACGTGCAGAAACCTAAGGACCTGGAAGTCGAGACCGCAGCTGTGGCCGAGGAGAAAGACAAGTGTGAGAAGCAGAAGCCGGAGGAGAACTCGAGGAGAAGGCAGGAGCAGGAGATCGAAAATAATGAGAAGGACGAACAGCCGTCTGACAAAAGTGATTCATCCTCAATATCTTCGGTAACCAGCTCTAGCTCTGAAGAGAAGGAGGTCGAACCGAAGAAGGACGATCTGGATTCTGACGAAAGTGATGAGGAGCTCTTGTATTCACCCTCAATACCTTCTTTCGCCAGCTCAAGCTCTGAAGATAGCCCCCAGGACCAATCACGTGAACGTCCTGGCTGCTCGCGTGGCCAGTTGGGAAACGTGTCGGACAGGAAGCGCAGGGTGTAAGTGTCCAATTCTAGCTCTATGTCAAAAACCTTTCTACTCCTATCTCTATTTCTAGCTCTAGCTCTAGTTCTTCATCTGGGGATGAGAATAAAAGGATGAAATCCAATTGGAACTGGTCGAGTTCAAGCTCGAGTTCAAGCTCGAGTTCGGAAAGCGAAGTGGAGATGGACCAAGTTCATCCTAATTCTGGCCACCGCTGTGGCTATCGTCGTTTCTCTACGGGAACGATTTTCAAGAAGGTGATCCCGCGAGAGAGATACAAGTCCTGGGACTTGTAAAAAAAAAGGCGACACGCAAAGCTGCTGAAATGGCCATAAGCATCGAAAACATAAAAAGCAAGAAGACAGCTCTACATCCATTTCATACTAATTCATTCATATTCATTCATTCATATGCTGCACACTATTTTTACACTTTTTAACACTGTTTCACACTAATCTCACACACTATGTAACACCATTTTCAAGCCATCATCATCATGTTGTTCCTGCTGTTAATAAACATACAATCCTCGTACACTCACCACTAATAACCTAACCGTCATTTCTTAATAACTTTTTAATGGCAAATTAATGGTAAATATGTAGTTCCAGAGATATCATCGTTCACAAGGGCAGGCGGACGGACCAGAGGGACAGCCAGCCTAGGACGCCAAGACGTCTTACATACTTTCCAACCAAAACAATATAGTAAAAGGTATAATGAGTTAAAAATATTTCAGGAATAAGAATTACAGGCGAATAATATTTGTTCATTGCATTCTTTAACACTCGCTTGTTTTGTATGTGCAGCTCAGCTTTAATGTTGACACAAAAGGATTTCTCCACGACCGGCTTTGCTTTTCTTTCTGTTCGTGTTGTTGTGCGGCTTTATTATGGCTTTCTTTCTCGCCGTCTTTCTCCAATGTCCCGCCCCCTTGGTGCCCTGTTGCCTTGTTGTTAGTGAAAATCCTTTTGTCCCGGCCCAAAGGACAATGGCATTGACTCGCCTCGAAGTTGAATGCAACTTGGCCAACAAAATGCAGAGGAATTCAACGAAACGCTGGATGGAGTAACTTTAAGTGGCCATAAGCACGGTGCTCTGATCTTGATGTGGATAATGCTTAATGACCTTGAAAATAAGGGCCTGTTGTCATGTAATGGAGAACAAAAGTAATTGCAAATTGTGGGATTTTCTTTACGTGGCGAGGAAAATGAGAAGACCAGCTAAAGGAGAATCACAGTCGGGTTTTTATTTTTATAGAAATTTTCAAATAATCATTGGACCATCAAATAACGAGAGGAAAGTTAATATGATTTTCAAAAATTTAATTAAAGTTTAATGTGCTTTTGTGGCGTTAAAGGTAAATAAGTACATTGGCTATTTTTACATTTTCTTTTCCATGGTTCTTCCCTTCATTTGTCTCTTTCCTTTTCATGCTTTCCAACTCGCCATTTCCCTTCTGTGCAACATTTGTGTCGCATTAATTTGAATTTGAAGCGCGTTCAAAATGAAATCACGCGCACTCCGCCGAAGCAGAGGGCAAAAAAGTGGTCTGGCCGTCGGGGGGGGTTAAGAGGTTACGCCGGGGGAGTGATGGGGTCAAGGGGTCAATGGGGTTAAGGGGCAGTCGGTGTGACCAGCCCTGATGTTGTTTATGGTGGCAGGCGGCGCGAAATTAGCATTAGGCCAAACGATGCCAAACAATTTTGCCGGCGTTTTGTGCTCCCAAAAACAATGGCCACTGCGGCCAGGGGTTAAGGATTGGCGGTGAAGGGTTAAGGGTCCCGGGTTTTGGCTTCCAAATCGCGTTGCATGCCAGCATTATTGGAAAATGCAATTCGGCTTTTAATTGCCAGCAATTGATGGCCTAAAGGGAAAACTTTAAACTTTAAAGGAGGAGAAAAAAAAACTGGGCATGGTCATGGGTGTAGGGCGAAAAAGTGTGGTTAAAGAGGGGCGGAAGAGGAGGACGAAATGAAAACCCCTCGGGTGTCGTTGGTCAATCGCAGCCAAATGTGGAAGCGTTAACCCTCCACTACACAGGCAACACCTCTCTCTTAACCCATTCGGAGCCCTTAGCCAATGTCTCCCTCTCTCGTCGCCTTCCTCTGTTAATAATCGATGACTGCAGCACTGGCGAAGGTTTAAGGGGGAAAGGGGGTTAACAATTGCCGGCAAGTGTCGCTGGCCGCACAGTCGTGGCCAGTGATTTAGGGTCACCAGCACACGACCGAATTTCTGCAATGCATTCGTCCGCAAAATGGCCCACAATCCACCCTCCTACATGTGAAACAATATGAGATACACTTAAAGAAATTATGTGGTTGGACCTTTAAAGATTTTTTGATTAAAAAGGTTGGAAAATTTTTTGAGTTCTGTAGTTTATATGAAAATATTTTAAGGTTTGGAAAACTTTTAAAGGAAGTTTTTTTAATTATTTATTAGTTTTTATCATCAATAATCGATAGTAATCGATTATTTTCTTCTAAGCTTCTCTAAGAAAGTATCAATTGTACAAATTTAAGTATAGAACACGTTGCCCCGTCAAAATGCAGGCCATTTCAAGGGGAGTTAAAAGCAGACTTAAGGCTTGCACCAACTCTGTTGCATGGGGGGGGCGGTGGCTTTATGGCCGGCCCTAGTGGGTGGGGCGACTTGGCTTAGTGGCGCGGAAATATTAAATGCGCCACTTTGCCGCACCATGCATTATTTTTCACTTCCGCTGGTGGAAATGGCCACCGATCAGTCATCGAGGGCATGTCCCACCTGCCAAAAAGCTCTTGGAAAACCCACACCCTCAACGCGCCTGTCCCCGCGGAATAATGCAAAGCATTAATCGGGATGGAATAGGTGACGGTGTGGCTGTGTGGAACTATGAAAAATATTCTATGGAAAGCTTTTCATTCCATTTTCGTGGAAATTTAAGCTGAAGTTTGGGTTTAAAATATTATTTTGATAAGATATCAGTTCACCTGTTATTTTTTAGGCTCATACTTATGGCTTTTATCATTTAATTAGTTCATATTTATTGTCATTGCATTGGGTTTACCTGAAAAGAGAGAAAATAATTACAAAATTAGTTTAATCTTTAAGAAACTCAAAAGTCTTAGCAGACTAGGAAGTATAAGTTGAAGGAACCCTCAGCACTGTCATCCACAGCCCCATCTTGGCATAACATTTTCTTTATTTTTGCCTTTAAATCTTCGCGATAATCCCGCCGCACTTTTGATATGCAAATGGAAGACTTTTGGAGTCGGAAAAACCCTATGGCAGCCCCTGGACGAATGTCAATTGCAGGGGATCCGAATAAACAAATGAGAATTAAATGGAAATAAAATGAAATGGCTCAGAGCGGTGGGTAAAAAAGAATGCCTTAATTAAAAGCATATTATTCCCATGAATATTTTGTTGAGGCACCGAAAACTGAAAACTGAAAACTGAAAGCACAAACAGCTACACATTGGGCAGAGGCAGCAGGAGGGGGTAAGAGGATGGGGTAAAGGATTTACAGTCCTTTGGCCATTGTTTTCGGTTATGGCCATTGTTGCTCTGCTCTGCCGGTTGCAGATTTTGCCATCATAAAATATTCAAAACATTTAAGAAATTTTCTGTGACAATGGCAATCTTCTTCCCTTTAATCCTGGCCCAACCAAACCAAAAAAAAAAACCAACAAAACAAAACAAAACAAAAGCTGAAAATAATAACAAAATTCCACTTAAATTGCGCTTTTAGTTTTCCTCTCACACACACACACACATATACTAGTTTCTTGTTCTTCCTGGTTTTCCATCTTGATGCAACGCCATCTTGCGGCCATTTGTAAAATGTCACAAAACGAAATGAAAATGAAAATGAAATTGAAGAGCCCAGAAAACCAGGCAGCGGGGCAGGAAAAATGAATTGAATTATTTGACTGCCGGAGAAATGCTTCTTAAAATATTAATTGAAATATTTAAATGCAGAAGGGCGGAAGAGGAAGCCCAAAGAGCCTTTACAAGTGCCGAAATCTTCTGGCCAAAAAGCGTTTTCTCGATGAGTTTTCATTTGATAATTTATAGGGTTGTCTGGGGCTACAGAATTCTTTATGGGTTAAACGTTGGTTAAATTAATTTGGTAAAAAAAACATTAAAAAATATATATAATATCAGCCGTATTGATATTTACTGAACTGCATAAATAAAATGCAAATGAACAAAGGGTGAAAGGGTGAAAGGGTGAAAGGGTGAAAGGAGCAGGAAAAGAGTAAACATAAGCATATAGAATACATTTTTTTGAATTTTTGTATATCGTTATCTATAAATATGCAAGGGGCCATACACACATACAAAGGAAAAGCGGGAAAATCGGGGAGAAGGAAACAAGAAGGGAAGACAAGGCAAGGCAAGTACCCCTGAGGCAGTTCATAAACTTTCGAGTAAATTGCAAACTTATGCACTTCGTCCGTCGCCTTTTACCTGAGTTTGTTTGCATGCAAATCGAGAGCGGTTTACCTTACCGCTTTCCCAACTAACCGCTAACCGTTTCCCCTCCCAATTTTGACTGCTTTTCCGCCAAGTTTACTGACTAGCAGCCACTTTTCATGTGTCGCTTCGTTTGTCATGCAATGCTCGAGGCGTCTCCTTAGCCCCATTTCCCATTTCCCATTTTACTATTTTCACAATTTCACAATCCCTATCCAACGTTCGGTTTTCCCCCCACTTAACTACACTCAAATGACAACCACCCCTTTTGTTGGTCACATATATATATATAGTAATATATGCCCTTATTCCCTGAACTCCATTGGCCACCCATTGGTAGCCCAGAGAACCCCTTCATTCGACTGCATTTCAATGCATAACATCATAATATGGCAACGATTCTATCTGAACACATGGCCAAAACTAAATGGAAACATTAGTTGGGGTCTGGTTTTGCCGCCTCATATATATTTTTGGTGGTGTTAAAGGGGGGGGGCCAGAAGGGGGCAGAAAGGGCAGTGCAATAAAAGTTAAGTTCCATTTGTGGCTTACTGCAAAATGCAGAATGCAATAACAAAACTCAAACTCGAGTCGACATTTTTATGCATATTTATGGCACGGTCATAATGGCAAAGGCACCAACAAACAGCCATAGTAATGGTAAGTGGGTTAAGGTATTACAGTGCACCTCATGGGTTAAGACATTATGGTAAACGCACTATTTATGTGGCTATAACAAAAAAATCTATGCAAAAAAAAAGTCTCAAAAAGTTTTTTTAAGGGTGTGAAATGGTGGGAAAACTGAAACTCAACTTTTGTAAGGAATTTTCTTAAATATTTTATCTAATCTTAAAATAAAGAAAATAAAGCATTCCAAGAATATAAAAATTTGTATTTTTAAAATATTTTTTAAAGTATTTTACCATTTTATCTAAGAGTTCTTTGAACTATCAGAAGATTTCCCACGAATTTTACGCATTTACTTTACTCTTTACATTT